CCTCAGGGAGGTGCCAGTCTCATCCTCTTATCTCTTCCTCGCCCCTCAGGAGACGAAAGAGAATGTTTCCCTCCCTGAGTCCGGTCTTCATAATTCCATTCCGTCACAATATGCTTCTTTCCATGTCTTTGGTATTACTTTTTTTAGAAGAACAATTTTATTAATTTTAATTTCAAAAGTTTCTTTCATATGAAGCAATATAGTAAGGAAAAGTTTTAAACATAAAGCTAAGTTTGGCAAAGATTCATAAAATCCCATTTCACAATAAATTCCAGAAATTGCAATACCATTCATGTCACTGTTTTTTGAGACTGATTCTAGCAGCTTTCAAATGTCTCTAAGGTCAAAAAAATTCCACATATAACACCTCCCCTGAAAATTCATCATAAATTTCAGTTGTACTTGGTAAAAACTTCCAAAGTTTTTCTTCTTTTGCAAAAATCAGACAAAATGGCTGAATGGTAGTGAACACTGACATTATCCATCATTTTGAACATGTGCCCAGTTCTTGGTGAAAATGATTGAGGTATTTGAACATTGCCCTTTTGATTTCTTTTGGCAATGGAAGACCAGCATCTTTGGTCATTGCTCTTGGTTTTCTTCTTTGAAATTTTATACGTTTTTCTATGTTAATGTCCATTTCCTTACATATTGTTGTTGCATAGTTAATGGCCGTCTCCACAATTTCTGTGCATGAATCTTCAAAGAACAATTTTTTACATTGTTCAAGGCTAATTCTGGCTGTTTGCATATGTTTTTGTGTCTGATTAACGCCAGAAAAAGATAATTCAGAAAAGAAAAATCACATATGGTATAGCAGAAAGCAAAATCTGAGCTGATCCTCTTATGTCCATGATTTCTTTTGGATCATACAGTGTTTCAAAGGTTAAATTAACTTTTCAGAAGTTGACTTTACTGTGTACACAGTTTCATAATGAGCACTCCATTTTATCTGGGAAAGTCTTTTCACTGTTATACCCACATTCTGAAGCATTTTCCATTGATGAAGTGAGACTGAAAATAACAGATTGATTTTCCCTCCACATTGAGTGTGTGAGTGTTACCAAAGAGAATTCCAATGTATTTTGCTTTAATATCTACTACTATTTTTTCTTTGACACGATTTCTCAGAAGATGAATTAATTTTAAAATGAGTTTTTGGAGATAAATATGAAATCAATCTCTCTTCAGAGGGAATTGCATGTTTACTTTTTATAAAATTATCCTTCAAAATTTGGTCATAATTTGAAAGTAATTTCACCAACTCCAGAAAATGTCCTTTGTTTGCTGATGATGACATATCCCCTCTTTGCCAAAAAACATAATTACATCTCTCAATTTTCTTCTCTATTTATCCATTTCCACTTGATGGACTATATCAATAATGGGTGTGTGTGTGTGTGTGTTTTAGAGTTTCAGTCCCATTGCTAAAGTCTTCCATTCTTCAAAGCAAGAGAGATGTTGCTCAGATATCTCATTTTCAGGGATGTTAGGATTTAATTTCCACCAGGCTTTAAAGCCAGTTATAAAACTGGATGTTCCAGCTTTTGTCTCATTATCTGCAAATGGTCTGCAGCAAACACAAAACATTTGTTAGTTTTGAATAAACCATCTATGTTCTCATTGCTTTTTCACCATTTTATAAAGGTTTATAAAACAGTGAAGTTGTCAAGTGTCGACTGCCTCTTTGTATTTTTCTCCTTCTTCTTTACCTATAGAGAAAGGTCCATCTTTGCTCTGAAGAGGTTCACTTCCTATTAACCAGATTCTCAAATTGTCTGGAACTGATATTGGCCAAGCAGAGATATCAGAATAAATTAAAATGTCATTCATCATCTCTTCTTCATCAAAATCTTGGTCTTGACTAGGGTCTCTTTCTTCTCCATTTTTTTAATCCTTTGGTGTTGACTCTTGCTAACATTTGTTTCTCATCCCCATTGTCAATGCCTATAAAAGATGGTTAATTATAATCTTTCAGCCCTGTATCATCTGAATCCTGTATAGGTGCTTTGGATGCACCAGACTGCATTTCTTCTTCAGAATTTGCATTAACTGTATGCAGTGTTGAAGGTATTATATATTTCACAATAGAGCTAGACATTGCTTCTAGTAACTCCTCCTTTGCTTTTTAAATGTTTCTTTGTTGAGCTTCACTGGGTTCATGGTGTTTCATGTTGGTATGGGTACCCTACTTCAAATTTCTTTACAAAATTCAGAATCATTGTGAACCAGTTGCAACAATACTGCAAACAACTGCAAGTTCCTCCAGTTCCTGCAGGGCAAAAAAACACAGGGACTGGAAACACAAATTGCACCCAAAGCAAGCTTGAATTATTCTGAACCCTTATGAACTCTACTCACGTAGCTGAGTCGGCATGTGTTGGGGGCTGACTTTAGGCAGCTCCAAGCACCTCTAACAGCAATGGCTGCCACGCTGTGCCTTCCAAGGCCTGGCACCATGTGGCATGAGGGAAGCAGAATGGCTATTGGCTCAGCACAGGGGTTGAGAAGCAGTCACAGGATCCAAGCTGGCCCAAGCACACAAGTGTCAGCCTACCCTGTTCCTGCTGCCAGCCCCACTGAAACATCAATACTCCCAAAGAAGAAAATTGCCACTGTCATATTACTACTGCCATCTGCTCTTCTTGTCGTCTTCAGCAAGAGAGAGGCTCTTGCTATGCGCCCTTAATCTCCAAGTTTGGGGCCAAACAAGGGACTCTTTTAGTTGGTTTGGCTTTTAAATTCTCTACAGACAATGCACCCCCTTATTGCCTGCACCCAGGTGGAGCACTCCCACCTCCTTGCCCTTGGTATGCCACAGGTACATTTTCATATATAGTGAGAAAGTAATATTCAAAGCTGCTGACAATTTGGAGCCAGATTTTTATCTCCTCACCATCCAACTAATTCTGAATGCACTGACCTGTTGATGTGCACAAAGAAGAAAACTCAAGTGGTGAGCCTGCAAGCATATACTGAGGCTTTCTCGGTTTGCTGAAGACTGACAATATGTCACAACTAACTTTATTCAGTTAGTGGTGTGTTCCAAGAATAAGCATGGTTAAACCAGAGATTAGCATACTAGTTGAACCTAGTCATGGGCACAAATGTACTTAGTTGGTTTCTATAAGTAAATACAATTTACATTTCTAAACAGCAGGTAGTATAATGAGTTGCTTCTGTCCTTGCTTATTATGGGGATACACAGAACTATCAACTTCATAGTTTTGGAAGATTAGACGGTCATACAGGCATGGACACCAACAGCATTCAGAGAGCCAATAAGAAATGTACAGCTACACTGTAGAGCAATCAGCTAAATCCTCTTAAATTTTTCAACAGAAGGCTGCTATTCGAGTCTCATAGATATATGATGGGCAACTGTATCTTTCAGTACACAAATACTTTCAATTTCTAGCACAGTCTTTTCAAAACATTCGCTACTTTGTAACTGGCTCCTGGAGTGAGAAAGAGAGACTGATCTGTCAATTGGTCAGAACGAGACCATATTTTCCTTAACATTTAATGCATCCTTACAACAGAATTGAGTTTCATACTTCTATTAATGCTTATGAATATGAAACTATGTAGGTAGTTATTTTAATCAAGCATAGACGTCATGAACAAATGAGTTTATATTTTGGGATCAAGAAGAATATCTTATGCAATAGGTTTACGGTTATGGTCACCAGCCCCCCTCCCCCAAAAGTGCAACCCAGACTAAAATAAAAGTGTAAACAAAACAACATATAATTATAGTAAGCATTCTCTGAATAACTACTGATGAACTGACATAGAAATTCTATAAAACTAGTGACAGAATTAGAAACCAATCTTGTTAGTTCAGTAGTAAATAAATAATGTGACTTTCTCCACCTCCACTCCACTGAACACTGAACTAATAAGGGCATTATTTAAGTAAGGTGGGGCTCCCTGTGGGGCTGGCAACACTATTATATGTGGACCACTGATTCTATCTCACCAGCTCTACACAAACAGGAACATTTGCAGAGAAAATGTTGCAGTTTTTCACTAGCAGCAATGATATGGCATTAAAATGAGGTAGAGATGCTTCTAGAACATTGTTTTTCAAACTCAACAACTTTAAGATATGTGTATTTTAACACCCAGAATTCCCCAGCTAGCATGCTGGCTGGGGAATTCTGGGAGTTGTAGTCCACACTTCTTAAAGTTGCCAAGTTTGAAAAACACTGTTCTAGAATTAGACTGGTAATACTGAATTCATATAGCCCCATCCTGACCTTATTTAAATGAGCCTTCAAGACCTGCCCGTTTCCCCAGGCTTTGGGTTAGAGTGGGTGATAGATTCCTTGTGTGGTACTTTGCTTTTTTAGTTGGCATTGCTTCTTCAGATTCTTTTTTGTATTTTCTATTGCTCTTCGTAAGTCACACAGAGTTGTAATAGATTGGAGTGGCCTATAAATTTTATGAATAAATAACCCAGCAAGCAAGAGGCAGGCAGGAGTGCGGCAACTCCTGGCACCTCCAGCCACTGAGTGAAGAAAAAGCACATTCCAATCTTTCGAGAGTTCGATACATATTGTCTGATGGACAATTGAGTTATGTGTAATCCCAAAGGCATTAAGGATTAAGGGGTAGACCTGGAATCTTGCAGCTCAGCTTCAAAGGGGGATTTCCAGGAGGACTAAAAACTATGCTATAAGGTCAATGGTGACCTAGAGGGAAAACTAGCGTAAGCCAATAGTTAATGTATTAGAAGTTATGCTTGACTGATTTTTTTCTTTTTGGTCCCCCAGTTCTGAGAAGATGGGAAATGGTTACAATTGATACCATGCATTAAATTTAATAAATGCTAACTGAGCCCATTTACACAAGAATGTTATCTGTGAACCAGTGAAATCTTTTGCCAATAATCTTAAATTTCATTCTGATTTGTTTTTGTGTTTCCAGTTTTATCTTGTTTTTCTCAATGAAGCATTCCTACAACAGACATACATTTTGTACATTCCTAACTCAAATAGCACCCTCTCTCCAGTCTTTATTAAATAATCAAATCAGTCCTTTAATTCCAATTATATAGCAGGATCTTACATAAACTTAAATCAGTGGGACTTATTCCTCAGTAACCATAACACTGATGATGGCATTTAGATATTATGAAGTTGAAATCTGAAAGCTATCCTGATTCATCTGTATATTAACTACTGTTAATGAACAGTTTTGCCCAGTTTTAACAACATTTATTATTGTAATTAACTGTATGATAATCAAGAAGCAGCCAAAATTCACAGAACAACAAAAATTAGCAGATAATATGAATTAGCCTACTGTGGTGCTTAAAAGTTTGTGAACCCTTTTGAATTTTCAGTATTTCTCCATAAATATGACCTAGAGTCACGAATGTGAGATGGATGGCTACATAAATTGAAAAAATAAATAGAATGGTAGAATGGAAGGATTAAGATGCATCTCTGCAGGAGAAACATGCTCTTATTTTAAGTTTCTGAGAAAGAGGAGGAAAAATTAATGGTTCATTTCACAGACTCCTATATTAAACATATTTTCGCTGAAAGAAGCACTACTGTATTGGTAATCCTGAGATAAATGTCTTGTAACTAGCCGTAAGATTGCTTGTGACAGATTGACGGAAGACAAACGAAAATATTTAAGAAGCAGCAAGTTTCAACAGGCTCCCGAGGATTATAGCGGGAAAAGGGACCTACGAATCTCTATTTTGAGGGACCTACTCTCTACTTTGAGAATTCTCATTTCAGGTAAAAGATAAGGAATAAAGCACAGGAATTACAGATGCAGTAACGAGATTATTCAGGTGGGACGCTCTTTCTTCCCGCTCGTAATTACCGAAAACAAAGATCCCCTGCCACTTTAATCGCGGAAAGTCTCTCGGACCATGGTGGGCGCGAGCCGGCAAAATATATTTTACCTCGCCTTCCTTCCGTTCCATGGCTCTTCAGCACATGCAAATAACCCAACGCCGCTATGCTGAGCAGCAAGAGGCTGCTGAGCGCGCACTGCTCTCCCCCTCCAGTTTCACGGTCCTCCACGCACCTCGAACGCAGAGAGGCTTGCACGCGTTTGCACCATCGCCCATAAAGAGAAAGAATCGGCCGCGACAGAAGAACAGACAAGGATAAAACGACTACCAATCACAAACTTCCTTCTGCCCCAAGGCACGCTGGGAACTGAAGTCCTTAAAGTGCCAGAGTTTTCTTTGCAGAATTATGGACTGCCACTCCCCACCTTCTACTCAACATGGCTGCTGGGGAGGGGTGCCTATTATTGTATCATAGGATTAGTACATCGATACATTTCGGGGGTTCCGGCCTGGGGAAGTGCTCTATTTCCTTCCCCTCCGGGGAGGTAAAAGGCGGGTGAGACAGTGCTTCAGTCCGAATGTCTAATGACTCTTTTAAGGGGAGCTCCCAATCTGTAAAACGGAACGAAACGTTCTTTTTGCCAGCCATCTGCCACTTCTATGCGGACCTAAGCACAGGCAGCCATATTTCACTCATCTTTTAGCATCTAGAAAGAAGGCATAGCTCTTTCCTTACCCGTTCCTCGCGTATCTTTGGATGTGGACTAATAACTGCTTAAGGTGTCAACTACTTTTGAATATTTGCTCAGAAATAAATCCCACTAGTTCTATGGGACATTTATATATGTATTCCTACCCATTCTGCAGTTACTTTTGCCAGTAATTCTATACTGAAACCTAAGGATTTTAGCTTTCCAAACCTACCTCTCCTTTAGATTGTTTCACATTTCAAAATGGGGAATGAAGAGTCTATTGTTTGAAGGCTTTGTTCTTCTGAGTTGAACCCTCAGTTTCTGTCCTAATATCCTGCCCTAAATTTTGTTCTCCAGATCTGTTGGATTATAATGTTCATCATTCTGGCAATAAATAAATTCAATTTATTAGGATCAGGAGCACGTTCAAAGTGCAGCTATTTCAAGGACTACATAATAAGAGGACCATGACTGTCATGTTTAAAATTGCTGCCGCCTTTAATATAGCTCATTACTTTTTTCTTGATTCTCTTTGGCTTAGATTTTTGTAATCTTATATGTTGTTCTCCAATAGCTAGTATTTTCATCATGTGAGGCTTTTTAACTGTTTTCTGGTCAGAATCCCTCAGGCCCCATTTTTCTCTCTCTCCTGTTCTTGGGCCACTTCTATAGTCACCAGCTTCACCTCTGAATCTTCAGAAACATTTCTATACCACTTAACTCATGTCCTCACTATTGCTCTCATCTCTTCCAGCTGATCAATGGAAGGGCACAAACACCAGCTTCCAGCCAGTGCTACTCCATCTGCTTGCTAGCTTTTCTTCCTCAGTGAAGGAGGGGGAACTCTCCCTCAACTTAAAAAATGCTATAAAATGGTGGCAAGGCAAATGGGGTAAGCCTTTCCCCAGGCCTTTGGAAGCCCTGATTGGATAATGGTGTCACTTCTTTTTGGATTGCCATTTTATTATTTATTGGTTATTGTTTTGTGTTTTTGTGTTTTGTGTTAGATTCTGCTGAATTTTCTGTAAGCTGCCCAGAGCCGGTTTGGTTGAGTTGGGTGGCCACATACGTTTTAAATAAATAAGGACAAAAGCAAGAATTCTTGTCAGTTGGAACATTGCCAATTTTACAGTTCCAGCATTAGCCCTGAAACAGTTTTTGCTGTTTTCTCCTGCACTGCAGCTGATCTAGAAGTTAATCAGCTCAACTACAGCAGAATCCCAGAATTGTGGAAACATAGTAGCACAGTTCCAATCCCAGATGCATATACATGATGCATGAAGAAGGGCCCTACAAATGTTCTTCAGCTGACATCCAACAGCTTTTAGTATCACTTTTACACTGAGGACATCTTTCTCTACCCTGGAAGTAACTTTCAAACCATGTAATTCAGCATTACTAAATGTTCTTTTGACATATTCACTTGAATACTTTGCCACGTTGCCTTTCTATTCTGGTAAGCATTCAGGGCAGCTAATCAAACTGAGGAAACAAAAATTTAATCTAAAAGTTAAAAGGCAGAATGAAGTAAACCATTTAATGAAGTAAAATATTTTAACAAAAAGAAATGCATCTTATTTTCTAAACATTGGGATAATGGGGGCTACATACAATTTCCAAAATAGTGAGTTCCATAGTCTGGAAGTACTGCAGAAGGCAGCCTTCTCCCATGTGCCAGAGAGATGACCTGCTGACTGCAGGGGGGTTCTCAAAAGAGCCTCTCTTGAATATCTTAACAGCCCAGACAGGATTGTACTGGGAGAATCTTTTAGATAGGCCAAAATCATTGTGCTGGGAACAGGAATCATAGTGTACATGGATCATCTGTACTGGTTCCCAATTGTTTTACCAGACACAATTTGAGGTATTGGTACTGACTTTCAAAGCTCTAAAAGTCAGTACCAATAACTTAAATTGTGCCTGGTAAAACAATTGGGAAACAGTACAGATGATTCACATACACTATGATTCCTGTTCCCTGCACAGTAGCAAGCTAACTGCCAATTGCAACTTCTGGATACATTACAGGAATCAAGATAAGTAATCAAGATGTGGATATCTGCCACCAGATCTATCAGCTTACTTCGTTGGAACTGCATGGTAAAAAGCAGAACTTATGAGAACATATTGCATAATATTCCAAAATTCTACCATCAGCTTCACATAGCTGCCCTGAATGCTTACCAGAATAGAAAGGCAAGGTGGCAAAGTATTCAAGTTAATATGTCAAAAGAACATTTAGTGATGCTGAATTACATGGTTTGAAAGTTACTTCCAGGGTAGAGAAAGATGTCCTCAGTGTAAAGCATGGGGAACAAGACTCTAGGCAGTGTACAACAATTAAGGCTACATTATCTTCATCTAAATTACTAATTATAGGAGATAGTTTAATATTTGGCAATGCTATTTCTATTAAGTGCTTTCTGTGAATATAGTAATTTCCAAACTACTTCAGAAACAGCTTAAGGGTAAAATATTAGAAGTGCTTCTTCACAATTAAGCAAGGAAAAATTTGCCATCTTTTCAATGGACTTGCTGACACTTCCATCCCTAAGGCAGGAAAATTTTAGATACATAGCTTTTACCAGTGATGCTGTTGTTAAAAATATGATAGGACAGGTTTAAAATAAGAATCCTACACATCTTGCTAGGATACCTTGAGGCTCAAGGGGCTAGTTGAAGACACAAGGAAAGTGGCAGTAACCTCATGCAATTTTAATATCCTCCTGCATCATTACATTTTCAGAAATGCTGAAAGGTAATCTAAAAAGAATCCTGGGCTGTTGCAAGACACCACATTGCCTTCACATTGCTTTGATGTAGCCCCTAGTCTACCTTGGAATACGGAATATGAACATGGTATTATGAAAAGCATATGCTACAATATGCAGCAATGAAAAATATGAACAATGTGACTGAAACTTTTTTGCTTAGCACAACACGAGCACCAAAGCAGAATAAAGACACATCTTTTGCTACTATCTAGCTTCTTTTCTATGCCACTAACCATATAGATTATGGTTATCCAAGTTACTACACCATTAAGAAAACCTGAGTTTTCATATTTGTGCACAACTATGTAACATACTTGCATAACTGAACTGCAGGATAATGTACCACTTCTTAAGACAGCCAAAACCTACCACAAAAGGATGTTTAATTCAAAATTGTTATGGAAGTTATGGCAAATATTTTAGAAGGACTTTTCAATTCTTTAGTACCAAAAATAATTTATATATAAAGGATCGGTAGCAGATTCATTATACATCAAGACTAAACAACTAAAAAGATTCTCATCTAGCCTCATCAAGAGGCAATTCAAATGAAGAGGCAGCAGATTTACAACTAATAGGAGCTATTAGCCAAGATCCACCAACTTGATTGTGTTGAAATTATATAAACATGTTTCCAATTTGGAATTAATTTTGAATAATAAAAATGGAGATCACAATCCTTCCATACAAAACCTTAAATGCCAGCCGCATCACTTAAGTCCAGGGGAAATCAATCTATTACTATTGTAACTAGGAGTATGGCATCTGTATGAACCACTGCAAGTCCCTCGAAGATCTTTGGTACATATAAAGGGTGTACCAAAAATCAGGCCCATAGATAATTTATTATATAAATTACATTAAATGTTCAAATTGGTTGCCATTTGACACATGACCTCTGAACATTCCTAAGTACAGTAACATTTTCACTGGGAAAAAATTAATAAAATATTACGATTGACCTATGGGGCCTGACTGTTGGTACATCCTGTGTATCTATCATCCCCACTCTGCTGTTGTTTAAAAGAGCATGAAGACCTATATCTTCATCCAGGCTTTTGGCAAGGGAGAGTGAGACCTCTCACTTCATTGTGCTTGCCATCTTTTGTCTTTATTTTTTGTTTTACTTTATTGTAATTTCTTAGTTTGATTATTGTGAGCTGCTCAGAGTCATTGAGAGTCAGGTGGCATACAAGCTTCAATCATCATCATCATCATGAACTACCTTTTGCCTACCTCTTTAGCTTAGGTCAGATGCCAAAAACATTTTACCAATATGGTGGTAACACTGATCACTGATTTTGTAGAAGAGTGAGAGGGTGCACTAGTTCCCCTATCTTTAGAAAGTTTGCTCCTTAAGAACAACTTCATGATCAGGTACACATTGTCTTGATACAGTATGATATACAAATCAGAACTCGATTTAGTTGTTTTCCCTGTTAATAACAAACATTTAGGAACAAGAAATGGGTTCTTTCAAATATTATGCTGCCAAGAAGTCACATCCCGTTATTTGGCAGTGTTAATTTTTACTAATACCAACAGAGTCCAAATTCCATACTGGCAAGTTCTTTCCAACTCTTCCTTCCAGCAACTGAGATATGTAAAATTCCTCTACTTTCTATTTCTGCCTCAGTGTGTCAGAGCAATTAAAGGAGGTCATGAATACTCGCATGCATGGGCAGAGGCAAGAGTTCTCAAAGTCGTGCTATTTTTACCTATAGAGTCAGGCATAATCCTTTATGTAACTCAGAAACATCTGTGCATTCCTTATTTTGATTATCTCAAGATACTGGGAAAACAAATGATAGATGATAGAATAGACACCAATCCAGTCTTTGTATTTATGCAGTATTCAATACCCTTATTTTTGCCTTCTACTGTCACTATCCTTTATTGGAGTTCCTTGGTAAGGTTTCACTATTTTGTAAGGCCCCAGCCCATTGGAGTTTGGCAGCCAATAAAGTTAGATAAATAAATAAAAATTAGTATTGATATGAGTAATTCCTAGAGACATTGATCATAACATTTGATGGTAGAGACTAGTAAGTGGGCCAGTTGCACTGCTATATCCTTTGTAACATCCTTCTGTCTTCCTAAATACAGTGTTTTTGGAAATGACTTACTTTTTTGATACTTAATCCCAACAAAGAAAGATATTTGATAAGGTACTCATCCAACACTTCAAAGGCATGTAATTCACATATATCCTGTTTCTCATTTCAACAATGCACTCTAGGGACCTATCAAGCTAATTATTGCTTTAATACTGACACTAGTCTTGATTTAGATATGGCTTTGCATGAGCTGTGGTTTCATATCAAACAAAAATCCCTGATCTTGTACTTAACAAAAAAGATATAACTTTTTGTATTGCTCATAGCTGGCAAACATACAAACTATTCTACAGTGAAATCCTAAACATTTTTGAAGAAGATGCAAAGGTTAAATTTCTGTAACTTATATAAGTCCATGATGCTTCTGCAGGACAAGAGAATAATTCAACCTAAAGATCTCTGCAGATTGGGAAGTAGGCTTCTGAGTGTAGATATTACCATGAAATGTAACCTTCAGACATATCTGAGATACTTAGCATCTTTCTGCATCAGCCAAAAACAGGATTATAAATTTAGCCCAGCTGAACAAAGAAATGCCACATATCTAATTCTTCTAGGGTAGCGTTTCTCACTGCTGATTGTAATTAAGTCACAAAAAGCAGCATAATACAAAACATTGATCCACTGGCAAAACAGATTAAGATTACTGCAAACGTATTGTCGAAGGCTTTCACGGCTGGCATACGATGGCTGGTGTGGGTCTTCCGGGCTGTGTGGCCGTGTTCTGGAAGTTTTGTTTCCTAACGTTTCGCCAGCACCTGTGACTGGCATCTTCAGAGTGCACGAGCACAGACAGGAGCAGGAGCACCAGAGTGCAGGAGCACAGACAGGAGCAGACAGGAGTGCAGGAGCAGAAGATGCCAGTCACAGGTGCTGGCGAAACGTTAGGAAACAAAACTTCCAGAACACGGCCACACAGCCCGGAAGACCCACACCAGCCATTACTGCAAATCTTTTTAAAATATGGAACCAGTGAGGTCAGTTTAATTAACTGCTATATCATGCTTCCAAATAGAGGATGTAGAAGGATTTAGTATAGATAAAAATGAAGTAATAATTTAATTAATGCTAAATGAATGGAAATCCACCCCTAACAAAAACAAAAGATGAAGTTAGTGGAACTGTTATACATCGAATTTACACTGACAACCATTTCAATTTAGATAGAATTTTGACACCGCAAAACATTGTAGGTCTAGCATTTAATGTATTTTGTATTATATTTGTACTAGGAATGATACATTCCTCTATTTTTCTCTTTTCTCCTAGTATTTCCATATTAAGTTCACCTGTATCCCTTACTCTTTACTTAATATCCAATCACTATTGCTCTATTTGCTATTCTAAAAAGACACTGGTCATTCCTAGGCATACCCAAAATAAGAGCCTGACTACAGTTTTGAGCCAATCCAGAAAAGGATACAAGAGGCCATATATAATTTAGAAGACCTTATCTTTACTAGCACATGTAGACACCAAGATGACAGGATTTCCATGTGTTAGTACTTAACAATGCAAAAACTTCCTCAGATTCTCAGGTCCACCCACATCCAAGGAAATTAAGATATCTCTGCAGATCCCTTGTATAATTGTAATTGCTGGAGTAGTCAATGTGCCTGAAATTTTCATTACTTTCCAAATTCTTGAATCAGAGGGCAGAGCAACTTCCTGAATCACAGAAGGGTAAGCCTGCATAGCTCAAAAACTCCCACACTGAACATGTTTGCTTGAGGATGAAGGGCAACCAAGTCAAATATGCAACTGGCATCCCACCTGAATATTTCTGTACTTTCCAAAGCACAAACAGAAGCACATACAAAGGGACAGCAAAATGGACATTGATCATCTTCATTACAGTCCAAAACACCCACCTTTAAAAAAGACCAAACACAAGTATATGTACATTAATTGGATTTCCATAGGTTGTCTGTAAAAGCATACCATCTTCTTTCCCCATTGTAAAATAAGCACCAACCGTAGGGAAAAGAAGAAGGGAAGCATAAAAAACCAGTCTGTCTCACACAGTTTATTTAACAATAGGTAATAAGAAATCAATTAACAGTCTATACAGTGATCGAAAGTTCGTATTTATAAGTAATCAACTTTAATTGCATGATTTACAACATTTGAGGGTTTTTTGCTTTCTATTTTCAAGTTTTACAGAAAATGGAAGAGGAGAAAAAGGGAGGGGAGGGAAAGAGAAAGCAAGCATAAAGAAGAAACCCCAGGGATTTTCGCTCAGGTTAAAATTTTACCCTTGGAATAGTTTCTTACCCTCTTTAGTTTTTTCCTTTGTTAGATGTAAAAATAACAAAAAAAATCTTTCAAGAAAACAAACCACAATATATATACTACATCCATTTGGCAGCTGCCCCCATATATTTGCAAAAAAGTTGTCTTTTCTACATGTACAAATTTTAATACTTGAAGTTTAAGTTCAGACTCTGGTATAGAAAATTCTTGGAGGACAAAAGTAGACTTCGGAGGGGAGACTGGGTTTCTTAATATTTTTTTTTTACAGTTTTTAAAAGAATTGACATCTTTCCAACCAAGGAAGAAAAATTGGTATTTATCTTTAATATATATTTATATATATATTTATATATATGCACTGTAATTTTAAAGCAACATTCACCTTTTTTTGTCCTCCAGTTTAGGTAATGTTCTGTTTTTTTGTTTTTTGTTTTTTTTGCAGTAGACAAGAGGAAAACCAGAATAGGGAAAAAGTTAACCATTTGCCTCAGTAAATTATAACTATCAATATTACATATTTTCATTAATTTAAAAAAAATAAAACCTATTGGAGGCTAGTGAAGGAAGTCATTTGGTCTGTAGCCAAATAACTATCCGCTCCCAAGCACCTCCCCAACGCACGCGAAGGGAAAACAAAAACAAAAAAAGGACTGGTTACGATCCCAGCCATAACAAAAATATATTTTCTTTGTATTCCATTGTCCCCCACGTTCAATTTGTTGGGTTTTTTTGTGTGTGTTTTTAAAACCACAAACTACTGTTGCAGATTTCAGATGTATTCCAGGGAAAATGTTCTGCTAAGAAAGATTCAAAAAAATTGTCTTCAGTACAAAAAGTCTTGAGAAAATAAGGTTTTTTTTGCTCCCAAAATGCTACAATGTATCTTAGCGTATGTCTAGTGTACTCTGTGAAAGATTTGAATTCAAGTCTGAATTATCTGAGCTGAGTCCCAGTTCTGTGGCACTTGCACCATGGAGGCCTGCCATGCCTGGATTGCTAGCAAGCTGCGAAAGCATTGCACTCTGGTCCGAGCTGGCAAAATGCCCTTGATCCATGGGGTTAGCCTGGGCAGCTACCAGTCCTGGATGTGGGGAGCTGGTCTGTGGGGAGACATGATGTGGAGAAGGCTGAGGTTGCATCCTAGGGGAAGGGCTGGAGTGGGGTGGCTGGGATTGGGGCCGTGGTGAGGGGACAGGCTGTGGAGAACGAACTTGATTGGTAAGCGATGATGGAATCTGTTGACCTTGTAAGTGTGGGGACTGGGCCTGATTAGGAAGCATGTGTTGCTGAGGACTCATAGGATTGGGTTGAGCTGGAGATCCAATCTGCTGTTGGAGTAACCGCTGTTGGTAAGCCTGCTGCAAATTTGATCCTGTGTCTGCACTCATTGCCTGAGGAAGCTGGCTCATCTGTCCCATATTCCCTTGCTGCAACTGCTGCATATGGTGCTGCATTCGTTGCTGCTGCTGCTGCTGCTGAGGATACCCGACTCCTTGGGGCTGTTGGAACTGGTTATGATTGGCTATGCCAGGACCTAAACTTGGTCCTGTTCCTTGTTGCTGCTGTTGACGCTGTTGTTCAATCATCTGTCGTCTTAGCAGGAGATCCCGGAACTGGGGAGACATCCCCGAGTGATTCATGTTCATCGGCTGTGCCTGAGGATTCATCCCACCCATGGCTTGTTGGGGTGGAGGCTGCTGAGGTGGTGACTGCTGAGGCATGCTAGGCCTCTGGACACCTGCTTGCATTGGATTCATGTTCTGCATGGCTGGATTTGGGTGAACACCTTGCTGTCCTGGCATGGTCTGCTGCTGCTGCTGTTGCTGCTGCAGACCTGGCTGCCCCTGAGGCATTCCAGGCTGTCCTGGCATGCCTTGCGGATTCTGACTCCCAGCATACTTGGCAGCCCGCTGCTTAATGAAAGCAGCTAACAACTGGGGGTTTGAGTGCAAGATGTTAAGCACCTGCTGCTGCTGCATGGGAGAACTGGGAGACCTGAGAGTCCTCAGCAGGTTTTGTAAGGCTGCCTGGGGCAGAGAACCTGGTTTCGATGGAGCTGTACCAGGTACCTGACCCATTCCTGGTTGTGGTGACATATTCATGGGCTGTCCAGGTTGGGCCATTGACATCATTGTTGGTCTTTGCATTCCTGGCTGCAGTTGCTGAGGTTGTGGCAACCCACCCTGGGCCCATGCTGGCTGCTGCTGAATTCCTGTTGATCCCATCCCTTGATCTATGTGCCCACCAGGACCTCTGGCCATCTGAGGTGGTGTTACACTCATAGGCTGTATTGGATTCATTTGAGGCATCTGGTGTTGAATAGGCCTCTGGAAGATTGGAACATGAGCCATCTGCCGCTGGTGATCTGCTACTCGTTGTATCTGCATGGCTATTTCCACTGCAGCTGCAGGAGGACCCTGGATAGGTGGCTGAACAGTCTGAGGAGTTGTTGGAGGAGTTACCTGGCCACCTGCCTTGCCTTGGGACACAGCACCAGGAGGTTGAGTTCTTGCAATGCTATATGGAGGCATGTTATTAGGAGGTGCAGATTGTGGCTGTGAAGCAGGCTGTGGTGGAGGCTGAGGCTGTGGTGTTTGAGGAGTTGGTGGCTGCTGGCCTGTTGGAGTAGTTGGTGTGGCTGGTGTTGGTGAGGGCAACCCTTGCTGTTGTCCTACTATGCCTGTCCTCTGCATGCTTGCCATCCTCCTCCGAAGCATCTGGGCCTGCTGTAGGCGATGCTGAAGCTGTTGCTGACGAAGTTTGTGTTTGATATTGAGGCAAAATGGCACTGGGCACTTGTTCTCCTGGCAGTGCTTAGCATGGTAGCAGCAAAGAGCAATGAGTTGCTTGCAAATTGGACACCCTCCATTGGTTTTACGTTTGCAACCTTTCGTGTGCTGGACAACCCTCTTCATCTTTTGACAAGATGGCAGTGAACAGTTGGCATTGCGACACTGGCAGGCATGGACTAAAGACTGGATGCAACGCTGGATGCTCAGGCGACGTGAATCACCAGGACTCTGAGTGGTGGCTGTCTGTTGGTTGTTGCTCTCATCATCAATACCAAGGCCCAGTTTCTCCATCTTGTGCTCATGGTTTTTAGTGTTATAGCAGGTGATGCACAAGTCATAATCCTAAACACAGAAATAATTAGTCAGATACCTGGAAATGTAGGCCTACAGAAGTTCAGTAGTTTACCAACTCAAAATAACACAGTAACATTTTAATATGAGTTTAAGACTGCATTATTTATGTTCTACCAATCTCAAAATGGTAATGGTAAAGTTATCTAAGAAAAAAAATCCTTGTATTTTATGCATATAAGCATTTTTATCCAGATATAACATTTAAAATAGGCCAAAGTAAAAAGCTGGGCAAATTAAAAAACCAAATACTTATTGGAGTTAATAGGTTGCAAATATCAAAAGTATACAATGAAAACCACAGAAAGTAAGTACATTGGTACTAATACACAAAGAACCACAAATGAGGGGCTATCTCCTATTTCATATTGATGTGGTCTTACAGTGCTTAAGTCCATGGGATACTCAGGTAAATAAACAGGAATCCCTACTAAAGAGAGTACATTACCATTTCATAGACCCCTGTCATATTATAAAGTTCTCCAGTAGAGAGGGGCTATACTGAGATGACAGAGGTATCTGTGTATTATCTAATGATTGATTACAAGGGGAAACTGCAGACAAAAGGAATTCCTGAAATGCAAGTTTAACCAGCTGCTTCACTATAGGTTAGGCATACCTCACAGACAGTGCAATGCCATCTTGTCTCCACATGGTGCTTGCACTCATTGCAGGTATAAACAAAACGGTCCTGGCTCTGAGTATGCAGCTCTACCAGCATACACATAGTTGACCACATTGCTCTTCTCAGTGAGGAAAACTCAAGATGTTTGTCTCTAGCAAGGGTAAGGAAGGCATCACGCCCATCCATTAAGTCACATGGAATAAGTGGATCAGGTTCAATGATGGGAGGCAGGGAGTTGGCTTGAGGACCAGCAATGAGACGGATCACAAAGAACACCTGTAAGAGAGAGTGGCCTATTTTAGGTTCTCTTCTAAGCCATATCCTATAGAATGTAGAATATAGAATGTTTGATGTTCTATGCTTTTAAGTCCAGTGTGAAATGCTTGTATAGGTTACAGATAACAGAAATAGGCTTTAATTTTTTTCCATTTCATTAAATGCTTATTAGAGCAGGAAGTATAATTTGGAGGAGGTCCTTCCACCATGTACTAACTAAATATTGAAATGCAGCTATTTAATTTTCTTTAATGATCCAGCCATAATCAATGGCAAATAAGTGGTAGTGCAAGTAAATGAGGATTTAAATATATACTTTTATTTCATCTTACCTGGAAATGATAAATTATCAGGTAATAATTGGCTGGATTTGTACAGAATATGAAGTCAAAGCCAAAAAAAGCTGTATTACAACTTAACACACTGTGTGAACCCAGGCAACATTTCATTATGGTTAAGAGGGAAGTGTCCCTCTAATATATGAATGATATCTCTGTTTATTTAAATAAAACAGATACTTTATTTCATTTTCAGAACATAATCAATTCACTACCATCAAGCTACTTTGCTGACTTATTGACTTAGGTTATTTTAGTCTGATTGAATGACTTGTGGGGTAAGACTGTTTTCTTCCATTATATATCTTGCACACTTTTTTCTTGTATGTGCTTTAGAATATAAACCCATGAATATATTTTATTCTACATACCCATCCTACAATTTGTCAAAAATGTTCAACATCTTAGATACACAAAATAGCAGTGCTTTTAAAAGCTGTGCAACGTTATTAATTTCTAAAAATCTGATGATACTCTCCCAGCTTTCTCATTCCCGAGCCCATGAGCATGTTTCATTGTCCTTTTATTCTTACTTGCCAACTTCAGTCTTACATTTCCTTCACCTGCCACTTCCTTCCAAACTCATGTTAGGAGGCCCCTGAAGTGTTTACTTTGCTCTTACCTCCTTGTGCTTTTCCATAGTGGCATAGAGTTTCTGGGAAAGATCATTGGAGACATTGGGCATTCCTGGTTTCTTTTTGTTACCACGACTCAAACTGCTCTTATTTTTACTGGTCTTCTTGTTGTTTTTCTTTTTGGCATTTTTACTATCTCCTTTGCTAACCTGAAAGTGAACAGAGTCAAATTTGAGAATTGCAAACTAAATTTTGTTTAAGGCCTTACCTTTCCCAGAAGAACTGAAGCATCAGCTTGACAAAACCTTCATTAATTCATTCAGGCCAGACCTTCTGAAATACTTATAGGAGTATCAATCTCTCACCACAACAGGGTTGAGAACAGTGGCACATGGAACACCCTTCTAGTCATTTTAATGTCACCCCCAAATTAAAATAAAATACCTTTGGTTGAGCCTTAGTCACTTGCTCTTCTGCATCAATTAATGTATGAACAATTCTGGAGCAAAATATATCATTTATTTTCTCTACTTCTACATTTTAAAATGTCATGGATGACTTTTTGGTAGAAACTATTTTCTTACATCAGTGCTCTCATTGCTAGTGTTCTCTTCTCTCTTCCTCTCTTCCTCCTCTTGTTCTAATTCCTTAATGCTCTCTTCTAGAACATTTGGCCAGAAGTCCCCTTCAAAGTAGGGCAGCTCTTTTGCACTTGTTAGACGGTCTTCCGTTGCTTGCTTAAAAATATCCTGCAACACAGAATATCTTTCAGCACACATTTAACAACAAGAAAGCAGTCTGAGAAATATATGTAAAAAGTTGTCTATTTTCTTAAACCTCGCACCAAAACATAGTTTTCCCAACCTATATTATGTATCTTCCAGATCTTTTCTTTTTAATGCACGCTTGGGGATCCAGAAAGATGAAATGTTATTTCTACCACCACTATTTGAAAATCTCAAGTAGCACACAGGCTTTATAAATATCAAAACTAGATATGCAATATTGTTTTCAAAGATGTTTTTACACTTTTCTGAAGAACTGTGACTTAGGAATAAATAGGTAAACAAATGTGATACCTTGTAATCGTGGACAATGCGCTCTGACACAGATTTATCCAACATCTTTTTATACCATTCTTGCAGTCGTTTTGGTTTGGGAATCTTTTGATCAGGAGGATGGCAATGGAAAATATAATCATCTCCTTCACTAGGTGGGCAGGCCCAGATATGTCCAGTTGTATAACTAGCAGTAATGAAATAAAAAATCATTAATCCCATTATACAGTATTTCAAATGTGCTTACTTCATTTAGTATCATTTTGTTACCTTTTCAAAGCAAGAATGCTTCCTCTATAACAAGATAGCTGAATCTGAAATATTCTAGCTATGTCATATCTGAAAACCTCAGAAGTAATAAATGAAGAAAAGGGGTTCAAAAGCTTTATAGATACAAACACTTTCTGATGTAGAAATCAGTGGAAAGTCTGTACATCCAGTCCTATCCATCAAATCTGTCCTAAAATTTCTTTGTGCAAATAACTAATGCAGCCAGTAAATAATATCTGCAAACTAGAAAAAAATCTGTTTTGTAATATTTTAGTGATATTAACTGAGGCAGCTTGAGAATAATTTCAGGTTCCTTTGCTTTGGGGATGAGACAGGTAGGTCAGATTTAAGGAATTTTAAAGCATTTATTATTTTTAATATTCACCATTTTTATGACTTATTTCTTCCATTATCCATTACCTTAGGCTCTGCTGGATTCAGCTCCAGTAACTAATCACACAGTACTCAACAGCTTATAGATGAGCAGATAGAGCTGGTATACACAGAGTTTCTAGTAGAAGTCAGATATATTCAGAATTTGGCTTCTTTTTGGAATTATTCACACAATGTTCCCTGCATGTTCACCAGCTAATTTCTGCTTTAATTTATGTTAACTGGGTTATGAAAATTTGAAGTGCACTGCTAACATTCTAATTTAGATGCATCACTCATTCCACATATTCTATTTCTAGATCCATATAAAAAACTTGTTTATAAATACATAGACACACTGAAGGCAAGACACATTTAACTTGCCATTGAAAAGAGTACCTTTCCCAAGTCAAAATTATGATTGAAATAAACCAAGAAACAAAACCCGTGAATACAATTAATTGAACGTATCTCTGCTCAGAATTGCATTATAAAAAACTCCATCACAATGATCCAAACATAATCAGAATTTCCTCTTATAAGGGTAGCACTTTTCTATATGCTACCTTTTCTTTAAATCATTCTCCTTTGCAAATTTTAAACTTAGATTAAAACTAGCCTAACAACGTATCCCACATAATTTAACCTTAAATTTCTCTCCCAAAATGATTCAAGCATCAATGAAGCCTTTAATAAAATGCTAATAGGCTAATATAAACTAAGACCCACAAACTGCTCTCAGGTGATCCATCTTAGATACAACTGATCTTCATAATATTGACATAAACCAACTGCCTTTATATCAATATTTCAGGTATTCTTTCATTTTATTCTTCTCTAGCACACAGTCCTCCCTTGGGACCTTCCATATGTGTACCCTTCAGTGAAGAAACTAAAAAATTACATTCTACAACTGTAACAAAAGTTCTTGTTTGCCACTAATAGTATACTAGTCAAAGCACATCTAGACCAAGATTATAAGATACATCCTGAAAATATACTTATCTTCTGAGTGCTACAGAGAAGGGATTGGCAACATAGTCTAGAAACATCTTATTTGGTGGTCAGCAGGCTTTCTGCCCACTTGACCTCAACACAATTGACATTTCAAATCTGATCACTAGTCCAAAAGGACTGCATATTTCCTTTATAGATTACAATACATGATACTATATAATATCATAAAATATAGAAAACTTACCCCAACTTCTTAACATACTCTAGGTAACCTATTAGAATTTCATGATAGACAGCAGTCCTTAGGCATTTAGGGCGGAAGAAATGAACACTGTCAAGGTAAGATATGTATACTCGCCTAAAGAACAGAGAAAGTTCATAAGCCATAATCAGAAGCATTTTACAGTATTCAACTATTTCCTTTTTCTTCCATCTTTCAAATACCCCCTAAAAAAACCATTTAAAATCAATACACCATTAGAACTTAAGGAATTTGCCTTAACTTCATCTTTCATAGCCTTCTTTTAAAAACTATTTCCTTATCCTAACTAAGTTTACCTATTTCTCAGATAAGATTTTTAAAATATTAATACACTCAGCTCTGGAGAAATGAAATGCCTCGGTATGCCCACGTTAATAGGTCTCCTTTGCGAGCTGCACTGGTTGCCAGTTTGCTTCCGGGTGTGATTCAAGGTGCTGGTCGCTACCTATAAAGTCCTACATGGCATTGGGCCTGGTTATTGAGGGACTGCCTGTTTTGCATAGTATCTGCCCAGTAGGTTCAATCTGGCAGGGTTGGTGCGCTCCGGGTTCCATTAATTAAACAATGCCATCTATCGGGATCCCAGAAGAGTGCCTTCTCTGTAGCAGCACCTGCCCTCTGGAATGATGTTCCCCCTGAGATTCGAATAGCCCCCACCCTACTGGTATTCTGAAGGGTCCTGAAGACATGGCTCTTTGCCCAGGGCTTTGGGAAGGATGACTGATGCCCCTTTCTTCCTTTTCCTTGTTCCCCTCTTGGTTTATTTTCTTTGCCATCTTCATTCTTTTGTCTTCTGCTGCTTTTGTATTGTTCTTTATTTTTAAATGTTTTTAACAACTGTAAATCGCCCAGAGCCACTGGGAGTTGGGTGGCATATCAATTAAATAAATAAATAACTACAGAACTGATTCAGAGGAGTCCAAATTGTGTTTAGTCCTATAAGAATGAACTTTCACAGAATTAAACATTGCATATTGTGATATCTTTTGTAACTTGAAATAAGCCAATCTGTCATTTGACTTGAACTAGAAAACTGTGGTTTCCACTTGGCTTACAAATCAGGAGTGGAACGTAGTTACCAATCTTGATTTTCAACCTAAATCAAACCAAAGTTTCCCAGTGGGCCAAAACAGCAAATGACAGCTTGAAACTAGGAAGGGAATTGATATGTGTAATTGGAGTAAAATAAAGGTTTCAACTCCACAGTTTATTGAAAATGTGTTGTTCTAGAGGCAAACTGTGATAGGTGGTTTAGGTTTACACAGTTCCAAAAATTGCTAAAATACAGATCTCTTTAATAACCAAGCAGCTAACCATAGCTATTGACATGCTTAATAAGATGCCCTCGCTATCACAATAGCAATATGTAACACATTTTATTAATACTCCAGCATTTAACTTTATTGTAACTCACGCAATCAGGTAGAATTTAGGAACGTAGACAGAAAAAATAGGACATTATTTTATGATGCCACTCTTAGGAAACATATATTTCTCCAACAGCTAGTAATCATATATGTTGCAAATGGCCATTTGCAGTAAAACTACAGACTAAAAATTTAAGTCACCTGATCATTAAAATGTCCCCAATATACACTTTTCCCCTTTAAAAGATACTACCATACTTGCTACTGCTTGGTTAAAAGTTCCCAAAAACAATTTACCATCAACCTTGAAGAATGACAAGTAATGGAGGTAAAACAAGGAGGGGGTAGAAGTTTTAAACCATATACAACTGATGAAGTTACAGAACGTTCCTGCTAGTCTTCTGAATGAAATTTTCCACTTCTTAGGCATTTATCTAGCAATAATCCAATTTTAAGAATTATGAAAACAATAACTGATTTATTTTTTTTTACCTCTGGTTGGGTTGAGGGCAATCAGACCCATACTCCTGAACATGCATGCCAAAAAAGCATAAATCTACACCATCAATCTCCTCAAAAGCAAAGAGTGCTTTTGTTCGATAAGGGAATTGTTCTGCCATCTCTCCGCTATCTACAAACCTGCAAAATTAAAAGGTATAATATAAAGCAATATCAGCAAATTTAATACTATCATGCATTATAGAATGCTATAATATGGAAGCTGCCCAACAAACAAAATATTATTTTAACATTTTATTTTAATAATTAATTCACTCTATTTTGTTCTACTATATTTTAATTCCTTTCCTGGGAACTATTTTATAGTAAAGCAACATATAAATAATAAACCAAACCTAACTAAAAGTGCTCACAAGTACAGAGGACATTGTAGCAATCTGGCAGGATATAAATCTAATAAATAAATAAGGACATGAAGATGTTTATCTATCCAACTTTTTAATAAACTTGTTTATCCTCCAAAGCCTCATTTTTACCATCTCCTGCTTCCAAATTTCTTCTTTTCAATCAATATCCTGTACAAAAAGCAGCTCAAAATATGCAATAAATTACAGACGTGTTGAATCATTACAAAAGTCTCACTCATGTATCACTCAAAATTTAAAAAATGAGACTTTATCAAATTCTATACTGCAAGTTCTTTTGATAAACAAAGCAACATTTTATTGCTTAGACAAATGTAGCAATAACACAGCTTAATATTCATACAGAAAAAAAATGCCATTTGAAGGTTTGAGGAAAAAGTACCTTGCTTTCATTCCAGGTTTAACCTCTACAGTTTTCTCTGAGGTATGAACCACTCTAACAATGACTTCGCCTGATTCAGGATGATTCTGTCGTCTCAGGAACTCATTCACTCTGTTTTCCAAGAAGCTACCAAGTCTAGTGGTTGGTAATCCTACAAAAATGAAGATTTCTTAATAGTTTATCATTATTATAGCATCAAAATAGTCCATAAAATGATGCTCTGAACTTGTGGCTCCAAAGTTATAAAGTTACAAGTACTTGCCCTGGTTGATCAACTAAAACTTCTACTAATTTACAACTTAAAAAGTGCACACTGAAATTACTCCAGTAATAGGTTTCAATAAAGCTAACATAGCCTCATCTTTAAAAAGCTAAGTAGGGTCATATCTGTACTTAGCTAGGAAAATACCAGAAAATCCTAGGGCTGTAGACTAGGTAGTAAAAAAACAAACAAAAAACGAAGATGATAAAGCATGTCCAAGCTGTTGCCAAAGGAGAGCTGACATTCTATACCTCCTAAGCAAAGAAAAGTAAGATATATTCATCTTGAATATATAGTAAGATGATACGTCTGTTCTAGCCCAAATTCAGGAAGATGTTGAACCTAGAACAATCCGCCTTGGGTCGGTGGGTGAGTTATCTGAATGGAGAAAAATGGAGCTGAAGAATAAACTCCCTGAATTGTTATCTTGAAGTTAATATTTCCATTTTTCAAGAATTGAGCCTGAAACGTTAACTGCAAATTAACAACAGTCAAAGATTTTTATGTTTGCCAGGTTTTTAAACTATAAAATGATCAATAATAAACCTCTATTGAAGACATATGTTCCTGATAGGGCAATACTGCTGGAATTCAGTATTGGAATTGTTGATCAGGTGAACATACTGCAACTCTGTGTTTTTCTCCAGTATATGTCATCAAAATGGGTGAGTAGTGTTTATGCCACACAATGTTAGTAGGGCTGCAGTCCCTAAAACATTACTTGTCAATTAAAACAAAGGGACTAACTCCCAAATCAGTAATTCCTGCAGATCTGGCTATATATTTAGAACAGTGGACATCCTTCTGTATGTCAAACATCTGAAGTCTCCATCAGATCACCTGACTCTAGAACTCTGTCCTGAATGAAACTCAACTTACAGAAGGCTTGGGGAATTAGTATTTCAGGTTTGCTGGAAATAGCTTTATCTGGCTCCTCTGGACTGTTGTTTTTATTCTACTTTTCTACTTTGATTTCTTTATGTGAGATTTATTATTATTGTTTTTACTTTACTGTAAACTGCTTTGGTGTTAACAAAAGACAATAAGAAACATTTAAAATAAATACATCAATTTAAAAAAGCAAATATCAATAAATATGAAAAATGCACCAATCTCTACTTACTTCTAGCAGAGAATTTGTTCTCTCTTCGGGTTCGTCCTGATTTTTTTAGGCAACCATCACAGACAAAGCTAAAACAGAAGGAAGAATTAAAATTCCTACCACTTTTTGCAATTCTAGGGTAAGAATGCTGGTACCAAAAAACTAGAAGATGGCCCACCAATAAATATTCCACTGGAATTTTAAAAAAGCTTTCTGAGCTTTGAGTATGGAAACTTCCTATAAATAACAACACTAAAATTACATCAAACTTTGTTAATGAACATCTATTAAGAGGGTCATCAAAGATCACATGGAACTATGATAAATTATAGTATTAGCACATTTTCCAAATAGAACTATAGTCAGTGTGTCATTTTTAGAATTGTAAATAAATCCAAAAGGAAAAGGAAAAGCAGCATACCCAGATGGCCAGATTACTTCATTGTGAAGTACACAAATCTGATGCATCTTTCTTCCACATTCTATACATTCAACAAATCTGGAAGAGAAAAGAGCCATAAACACTCAAGAAACAGTTGATGATAGTTATTTTAAAAAATGTTTCAGTATTAAGCAGAGATTATGCAATGTAACAAAATCTATATAGTCTTCAGATCCTCAGAGTTGCTGCATGTGTACCTTTAATCAGAAATAGACAAAGAGTGGTATCATTTTGTACTCCAAAATTATACCGCTCAAAACTGAAGTGTTATCTCTCACACACTGGCAGAGATCTGGGATGTTAATTCTACACTCTGCTATTAAATAAAAGCAACTTAGGCTCCACCATACCTATAAATATTTGCAAGTATACATATCTACCTACTTACATATATAACGGGGGAGGGGAGGATGAATCAGTACACTAAAAAAACTAATTAAATGTTTAAGATGAAAGGAAAGCTTCAAAAATGTATCCAAATGCAAGTCAAATTGTGTTCCTAGTACAGGTAGTCCTCATTTAACAACCACAAATGGTACTGGCAACTCTGTCGCTAAGGAATGCAATCATTAAGTGAATCACCGGTGGCCGGTGAGACATCATGTGAGCGTGACTTGTGATTTCACTGCTGGTTTCTCCATTGACTTTGCTTGTCAGAAGCTGGCTGTGAAGCTTGCAAATGGTGATCACGTGATCGAGGGATACTGCAATGGTCATAAATGTGCACCAGCTGCAAAGTGTCCAAATGGCAATCACGTGACTGCGGGGATGCTGCAATGGCTGTAAGTTTGAGGGCCACTCATAAAGTCACTTTTTCAGCACCATCGTAACTTCGATCAGTCACTAAATAGGGCAGTCATTAACCAAGGACTACCTGTATCATCAAACATGAGTAAAGCAATCAATATTTTTCAGTCCCAAAGCAAAAATAAATGGGCAACAAATGGGCAACACTGATGCTAGCAAGTGTTTCTTTTGTTCTAAGGATATAAATTTAGCTGCTCAAGCATCACTTACTGTTCTGGATCCAGTGTATCATTTTTCCTTTTTGAAAACTGATCTTTATTTATTGTGCTGAGGAGAGAAATGGGGAATCTTAGTTGTGGTAAGAACAGGCATTAACATAGTAAAAGCAGTTTTAGATCTGCAGCAGACACATCTACATTTTAATAGGACCTTCTAAACATACTGCTTTTTAAGACCTTTTTGGGAATAAAGGAAAGGTGTGAATTGGACAAGATGATATAGTATCCCAAGCGAATACTTCCAGCTCTCCAATGAAAACAAAATACTTTCAGAGAAAGAACAGTAGATTTAGATACCTGGAAGCTCTATGGTTCCTACTTAAAAATGTGCAGCACAACAATGACTATCCATGCTTAAGTACTAAATCCCCAATTGATGATAGCACAAAACACAGAATGGGAGAAGGTACTCACATTATTAACAATCTGGTAAGAAGCTCCAGAAGATTTCTTCCTTATGGGGCATAAAAACCACCTATGTTTGTAAACCACCTATCAGCTATCCACCTATCTCATGGCTGGGAGAGGGGCGTACAGAAGTACAGAGCACATTCATTTTCAAACATGATTAGTAGTTTGAATTAAAACACAACCTACTTGTTCTATCAGTCAGGCCTCTTTATCACTTCTCACTTCTTGACAGAGAGGTCTGGACACAGTTATCCATATGCAACTCAAGTTAATTTCTTATATAAACAAACTAGGCCAGGAATGCCATAATTTGTACTTTTTAAAACTTTTACACAAGGTTAATACAATGTACCTGTGTGAGGTTCAGAAATTCCAGCTGATCCAGAATTTCTCATCATTAAGGCAGGCCATAAGGATATCATTACAACTGTAAGACTAGAGAGCTAACTGGTAACAAGCACGATTTGAACTACTGGTTTAATTTCTATGGCCTGAAATAATAGGTACCTGAAAGAATGTTGCAAGTCCTTTCTAATGCATGAGATCCTTATAACAGATAAGTTCCTATAAGATCAGGACTTTCTGGTAATAAAGCTCAGATTATGCAATTGTTGCCTTAGCAGGATTGTCTGGTTAGCTCCCTATCACCTTTTGACACTGGCAAACTCATTTTCTGGGAAATATTTACCAGTTCAGAATTCAACCTAGTTTACAATTATGTCTGCTAAATTTGGTATAGTTAGTTAAAAAACATACTAAAATAGCCTTTAGGCAATGCAATGATAAGAGCTTAGTACCTTCTATGAATTGAAAAGTTATATAAAGAAACAATTCATTTGTTTGTGGGAACAGAAACATATACCTTGCTAAATATTTATTGTAGCTGTTTTCATTTTCTCACAGTAAAATAAATAAAAAGAATTAAAGAATTTACAGCACCATTCATTTGTTATAATTTAAAAGTTTAATATAGCATTACATTTTTATTTTGTTTTCCATAAATGTAATATTGCCAAGAGAGAGTTATTTCAGAACACCACCTATGGAAAATTCATAGTTCATGAGAAGTATTGACACTACTACTTTGCAGAACATTATGCTCAGTAACTGAGAAATTTATTACAACACGCTTCATTCTGCTATTGAACAAAATGAAAACACGAGAACTCCACCATAAAACTTATTTCTAGAATTAGTGAATTAGCTGAAATTAGTGGCAAGCTGCTGAGGAGAAAACAAGTAGAAATATATCACTTTAAAGAAACTGTAAGAATGATGCCCCCACTTTTAGAACTTGTAGAATTTCTCCAGCAACTTTCATATGCATGTTACCAGGCTACAAAACTTTATATCTCTATATTGTAGCTTGTATTGTACAGAAATAGAACTTTGAATTTTATTCATTCAGTATCTATTAAAAGGATTTAACAAGACAAGTTAAACAAAATATAATTAGACAATTATTCCAGATCTAAATTTTCCTTTGAACTTTTTGCTTTAACATGACCCCTTTTTGCACAGCAAAATCATTTTTCAGTTACAGATTGCTAAAAAACCCTTAGTATTAGACCTTTATGCACTCTAGTATTCTCTCTATATATACTGAATGAAAAAAAATCTTGACAGTCTTATTATTGCACCAAACCTGACCTGAAGTTTTAAAATTAGAATTTGTTCTGAAGTCTATCACTTGGAGGTTTAACTTCTTAAGAAAATTTTTTACTGCAGCATGGCTTTTCAAAAAGATATAGAATGTATAGCATGATATGGTTGCTAGTACCATGATCACAGCTTTTGAAAGTTAAATGCTATTAAAGAGAACACAGCTACTCACGTTTGTGGTTGTGATGGATCATCCCCCAAAGAAACGCTCTCTCCTTGGATTTCGTTGAAGCACTTCTCACAGAAATGATACCTGTCGGCAAGAAGGCCATATTTGGGTGAACTGTTCCGTCCACACAACACAGCCCAAGCCAAGCAACGAAGTCACCATTCACAGCAGGCCAAGGAGGGGGGCGGGAGCAGAGAGCAGGTCATCAACGACGACAGGGACATTCAATGATGAAGATTTATGGGACCCAGAGTTTGATATTGGTTGGTTTTGTTTTTTGTTTTTGTTTTGTTTTGGGTTGTTTTTTTGTAATCAAAGCCAAGTGCAGACAACGACAAGCATGAAGGAGAAATAAAAATATACATACAAACAAAGAAATGGGGTTTTCAGGACAAAAAACAAAAAACACAGAAGCAAGACAGGACAACACAAAGCAGAAAGCCAAGGCAAAGCACAGATTAGCATTAAATCTCTCAAATGGGATTACAAGCAGCAAATTATAGCAAACAAAATGTATTCGGTTAAGTATACCCATGCTCAATTACCAATCAAAATGAAGAAAAAAGAAGGGTAAGTGCAACTGCTGCTCTGACAGCTGCATAAAGATAGCAATTTTCTCCACAGAACATTTAGTATGAAAGAGCTGGATAGGCATGAAAATAAACTATCTTGCAAATGCTCAAATGTTTATGGAGCATATACTTAGTTCCTGAAATATTTGTTTGCAACATCTCTTTAGAGGAGCTCTCTGAATAATTTTTATTCAGTTATTCATGATTTGTCAAAATGTTAGATGCAGTAACAGTCAGCTGCAAATCTGTAAATTCTTAACAGGTGAAGTCCATAAATTTGGATGTATGGAATAGCTGTTGCATTAAGAGGATTCCATCTTCATCTGATTTGGATTTGATGTTTTCTACTTTCAAGAGTTTATAGAAACTGCCATCTGTCTATCAGGAAGTGCGCACAAACACAAGGAAAACCAAAACCAAAACCAAAACAACAACACAAAACCCCCAAAATTGTTACAATATTTTAAAGCAAAACAGAAACAACACTGTCAGATCTGTAATTGCTAAGGAATGGATCATACAAGTCACTCCCCCACTCTTCCTTTTTTTCTAGCATGTAATAAAAGTTAATCATATACACTGATACTAGTATATCATCAGTTTGGACATTCAGAAAATTAGAACACTAAATGCCATTTACTAAAAAGATTTTGACTTTGAACAGCAACTCTCCATTACAAGTAATAGTCTGAATGTGGCATAAAAGATTGCAGATTAAAAGAAAAAAAATCACCTTCAGGTGATAAAACTGTCCTATCAATTGAAGGTATATAGCTACAAAAATACATATTTTTGTGTTATAAATATTTTTTGTGTTTGAAACAAAAATTCTTCAGCTTCCTGCCAAAAGTATCTAACCCCACCAAGAGGCTTATCAGATGTTTGAGGAGCCCAAAACAAGTAATAATCCTTCTGTTTAAAGGAAGTCTTTAAAAACACTGGCAACAACCTTCACCTCTTGCATTTCCGAAAAGAGTAAATCATCACAACAGTAATATATATATAGACACACGCACACATACACACACGCACACATTACTGAAGGTGCATCAGTAGAGTACAGAACATCTGCTGGTTGCTGGAACCCCAAATCAGGTGGACCTTGAACTAATCCAGTTGTTAAGCAACAGTACTTAGCATTAGTTATGTTTTAATTATCTTAATAGTTATGAGATCTCAACTGTGACACAGTAAGCATTCTACTTTCAATTTGGTTTTTAAACCACAGTTTAGTTATTACTGCTGTTAATGTGACAACATGGATTTAAACAGAGAAAAATATTTTCTCTCTTGAAAAAATACTGAAAGCAAAAAAACAATGAGCAGATGCACTACTACTTTCTTACCTGTTTTGGTAACTGTAATATGTAGCATCTCGTGGAATTGTGCATAATTGTTTGCCATAACAACATAAAGTCTGTGGTGAAAATTCCAACTGTAAAGAAAGGGGGACAGGTTGCTTACAAACATGTGAAACTCATAAGAACTTAAAATATAAATACTGTATTACAGACTGAAATTAGTCAAGTGGGAAGACACAGTCTACATCCAGTGGAAAAAATATAAGGGGAGGGCATCTTTTTGCACCAAACTACTTCAACCAAAGTGCTTTGGAAGAGTTTTCATGATGCTCTGCGCAAGCTCGTAAATCTTCAGTGGATGCATAGTACAGAGATTATGAAAAATATTATAATTTTAAGTATTTGTGCATATTTAACTCGTGGTTGATGCAAAGAATATTTACTGAGAGATTCTGTTCTGGTGGATCAAAACTAATATTGCCTACATTCAGAAACGGTTTATGGCATCAGTACAAACTTGATGAAGATGGATCACACTTAATTCCCAGGATCTCCAACTTCTACATTTGATTAGACAGAGATCCATGTATTTTCTTATCTAGAAATCTAGGTTTCTAGAAATCCAGAAGTCCCGAGATTTCCAAGAACAGATGGGAAATTCATTTCCAGATAAATCAACTCTCTTGTACACAATTTAAGCTTCCTTTAAAATATTCTTTCATTTGCTTATTAAGGATTATGTTACCTAATTTTACTTGAATTTTGTGTTCTGTACTGAGTGTATGAACTTGAGTATTGGTCAGTAACCATAATAAGACTGAATTATTATAAAGCAGTAATTATATAAGTTATTATTATAAGTCAAGTTAAAACATTATGAACAAAAGCATTTGAATTTACTTTTTTAAAATTGTGGATTAAAGGCTTGAGAGGATTAACACAAAATCATGGGGAGTTATAGGGAAGAGACAGAAAAAAATCACAGAATGCAAGTTCACATCACTTGATATTTATATTTACAATCAATACTGACAAGTACAATTCTTAGAACTAGGTATTCAATTATCTTAACAACTATTACATTTTCCCACCTACTAACTTAGCTCCTTCCTCACCTTTCGTCCACAGCAATAGCCAAGGCTCTGCATAACTGGATCAATTTCCTGCTCAAAAACCTCTGCCAACTTGGAACAGTACTTGTACACTCTAGATGTTTTACGATTGTAAAGCCAGGCATTGTTGAACATAAGCCAAATATCATCCACATATTGCCATGGTTCCTGGTACTGTCCCGTATCAAGCTTTCTCTTGATAGTAGAAAGATCCATGGGGTTCTTTACTATATCAAAGTAATCCTGCCAAGACAAGGCATTAATAAATTATTCTTCTGAAACTTCAATCCTAATATTGGACTTCATTTTCTTCCTCTTAAACCTGACAAGTCACTTCTCATTGGACAATTGAAATGCACTATGCATGATGGAGTTGCCCTTGAGGTCCACCCAGAAGTTACAGCTGGTCCAGATCACAGCAGCACAAGTAGTTAAGAGTGCACCTTGGTATGCCTATATAATAGCACTACTATGCAAGCTGCTGATTACCACTGGGCTTCAAAATGCAATTCAAGGTGTTGATGGTTACCCATAAAGTCCTCTATGGCACAGACCTGAATATTTGTGGGACTGTCTCCAATTATCTCTGATCTTTCAACAAGATCAGACATCCAAAGTGGTGGTTTTTGGAAAAAGACAGCTCAAAATACAATTGGCACTTGGATGGGGAGCCTGCAATCAAATAGATTCCTTCTCATATTTAGGAGTGGTTTTTACGGATACAGGGTCTTGGGCCAACCACTTCAAATGAAGTTCTATAAAGGCAACAGCAAGCTCTAAAGTACTAATTAAATTACTTAGTTATAACCATCCAAGCACTCTGCACCCCATTTTAAAGGTCCACAAAGCAAAAATTGTACCAATGCTAACATATGCCACAGATCTGTGGGGCCCATCAAAGGCCTCCTTACTCGAACAAAATCAAGCATGCTGTTTAAGAACTATCTTGGGGACTGACAGGAATACACCTGCAGCAGCAGTAAGAGCAGAAACAGGCACCCATTCCATTTACATTCTAACAGTAATTACAGTCTTTAATTACTGGTGGAGGACCCTCTCATTGGAACCTGACAGACTACCAAAAACATGCCTTGAAGAAACAGATGGGCACACTTCAATCCACCACATGGATCAATCAACTTCCCCAAATCATCTCACATTTCCGCTTCTCAACACAATATCTATTCTCAGCCAGACATCAGGCCAAGGCAATATTCAAACAAAGAGTCCTGGATGTTAATACTCAAACATTCAAACTGCAAACATCAATCCCTTGCAAACATCAGGTAGTTGAAATGGCTGGCCAAAAATAAATATCCTTTCAAACAGAAAAATATTTGACAATGGGTTTGACTCAATACCATAGAATAGCCCTTACCAGAGCAAGATTCGAGCAGCTAGATTCTATGGTTAAATATGGACGTTTCTACCAAGTGCCATATTTTGAGAGAATGTGTGTTTGTGGAGCATGAGAACTAGAAGACATTGCACATGTCCTATTCAACTGTCAATTATATGGCTCAGCAAGGCTTCAGTACTTATAGACACTACTTGATAAAACCATATATTGGGACTCTAACAAAAGATTATCTTATTTCCTTCAGGGCACAAACACGTTATATAGTCTCTAGAACTGTTAAGTTTATAATCGGGGCGGTCCAACAGAGAACATGTTTTATAGAACACACTGGGGTTGCATGCAAAGGTGATGAATTCACCTAAGCATAGAGTTTTTGAATTTTAATACTGACCTTATTATATATCTCTGCACTCTGTTTTAACTTACACTATTTTATCTTTATTTTGTCTTACCTTACCTATAATCTCACTGTAGTCTATTTTATCTCATTTTATTGTATCTCACTCTACCTCATTTTATTGTATTTTATTGTGGCTGATGTCCATGCTTTGATATAGTTAACTGACTGATCAATAAAGTAGGGGGGAAAAAAAACAAGATCAGACAGGGTTGGCATGCTCCAGGTCCTAACTACTACGTAGTGTCACCTTATGGGACCCAGGAGGTATGGCTTCTCTGTTGTTGCGCCTGTTCTGGGAACAGCAGCATCACCCCCCCCAAAATACAGATGGTCCTGACTCTACTGGTCTTTAGAAAGTCCTTGAAGACTCAATTCTTCCCCCTGGCACTGGGCCAGGATGCTATGCGAGCTTGCCTTAGCATGAAGTATGTGAGTTATTGTCTCTGGTACTGTGCCTGTGTTTTCAATCATTCTTGAATGTATTTTCATCTTTTTAATCCCTTGTTACCTGCCCAATCACTTATCAAGTGGGTGGCAATATAAATTGAATAAAACAAATATCAATACTTCATTCCTCAGCCAAGCAAACCCACCCACTTGAAACCTCAAGGAAGTGCCTACTCTTCTCAGGAACTAATACAGTTTGCTTCCAACAAATTAATGCAAAGTCCTAATTTCAAATCATCACTTTACTAACTGAAATGCAACAATCATACTCTGTAGAAGACTTCCATAACTTATTCTAAATTATAATCCACAAAATACCTACAGAAAATTTATGACAGACAGATTATACTTTATTACAACCAAGGGCTACCCAAATTGAATGTTTTACAATACTAAAATAATATAAAAACAGTAAATACCTTATTACAAACTACTACAACCCATCAAACACAATGAACGTAATCCTTAAGAAAACATATACATCTACATGCACATACATGCATATATATCTACATAAATATTTACAGTGTACAACTGGATCAAGACAGATATAATGAAGTTTAAGTTATGATTAGCTGACATATTGCTCTAAGGAACCTACTTTGCCCAAATTCAAGGAACCTACAGCTATGCACCACAGAAAAGTTGTGCCACTGAATGATTGATTGATATAACTGCCCATCTCACCCAAGTGACTCTGGGTGGCTTTCAAGTATTAAAACAAAAAAACCCACAACATAACCCCAGACATCCAAGCATAAACAATAACATTGACAACAGCAGAGCTATCTAACCACCTGACCCAAATGCCTGGAGAAACAGCCAGGTCTTCAATGCCTTGTGAGAAGCTAACAGGGTTGGGACCATCCAAATCTTTGAGGGAGATGCTGTTCCACAGGACAAGCACTGCCACTAAGAAGGCACAACTCCTGGTTCCAGCAAGATGGCATTGTTTCATAGGTTATAGGTGAATTGCACCAGAAGCCTACTGGGAGTCAGTGCAGCTCATGAAGCACTGTGTTATACAGATGTTACAAGAAACACCAAAAACTGCCTGCACTGCTGGTTTTCTCTCACATAGTTTAATGGCAGATGGTACGAATTCACTCACCTGCATCTTGTGTATGAAAAAAAAATCATAATAGTTGCTGAACTCCTTTTTGCTACCAGCATTGGATGTTCTATTTGGGCTTACGACTGAATGAATGGCATTTATGACCAGTCCTCAAAGTTATGGCTGTTGTAGCACACCCCCCCATGGTCACATGATAAAAATTTGGGCATTTAACAGCCTACCTGCATTTATGACTGCAGGGTGCGGTTCAACTCCCCCCACCCACCTATCTCCCCCTCATCTCTGCCCTTTTGGCTGCCCTGCCCTCCGCCGCCCCTGCTGCCCTGCACTCCACCACCCCAAGCTGATCTTCACTGTCTTCTTCCTCCTGCTGCTGATGAGGTGGACCCGGCCTGGCCCTTCGTGAGGCAGCTGCTGGCCGCACAAGGCCTCGGGAAGGCTGTGCATGGCCAGCAGTTGCCTCATGAAGGCAGCAGGGGATGGCATAGTGCAGGGTGGCCAAAAGGGCAGAGATGGGGGGAGACAGACAGGCGAGGGGAGTTCAAATGGAAGTGAGTGCAGCAGGGCAGGAGAAGTGTGAGGTCCTGACCTGTGGCCTAATGACCACAACGCAGACTACCGAAACTGCTGTTGCTAAGCAGTGTGGTCACGTGATGTTTCACCTAATGACTGCATTGCTTAATGATGGATTCTAGTCCCAATTAGGGTCATTAAGCAAAGACTACCTGTATATAAGGTCTTGTAACATATTAACAGAAATAATTTTTTTTAAATGCACTTACAGGAATTCCTAGTAACTGAGGATCCACAGGCTGCCGGAAAGGAAGAGACTCTGGGTCCTGACGATACAGTGCCTCCAAAGTTGGCATAAGTGCCTGTCTCAACTCTTCTGGCTTGAAAACTTTGAAAAAAGTTATGGAAGATTAAAGGCAACAAACCAACCAGGTATTACCTGTTTTAACATCTAAGCAATGTATCATGTGCAGTTTCACTATTCAGTGTCCAGTGCTGGACAGAATCTATCAAACTAGACTTTGATAGGGTTATTAAAAATAATTTATTGAAAGGTTAATACATACAATGTATTCAGTTTTTCTAATATTGAATAGCTGCATTTCACAGGTCTTTCTTCTAACAGATGAGAGATTCCATTCTGGAAAAGTATTTCTAGTACCAAAATGTTCAATATAAATTCAAATCCCAATTGAAGAAAATGACTTTGCCTCCATATGTTGATGGCAAAAAAAAGTTCAACTTACTTTTTCTCTTTGACTGTCCAGAAGCAGGTGAAGACTGAGTACCTGGAGTACTAGGCCTTTCCTCCTCTTCCTTTACTTCTTGCTTCACTTCTGGTTTCTTTTCCTCCTGTTGTATTGGTTCAGATTTACATTCATCTGCTAGGGGTTCAACTTTAATCTGGAAAACAGATAGTATACTTAACATTCTGTATATTTTTTTATCTATAGCAACTTGGAGACTACTCTTCTGTATAGATATTTTTGTACTGTCAATATTGATAGAAATAATATGTTCCCTCTGAACTTGTAAGAAAGGGTATAGAAAACACATAAACTGCATGTAAGGCCATGATGCATGGACAGACCTGGCTACAGTCAAATGCAGCCTTATAGCACATGTACACAGAATTACTGTAGGCTAGGGATGTGTAGCATTGTGCCTCCCATGTGCCTTGGATTACAATACTCTGCTACTGGCTATGCTGACTATGACTGATGCAACTTGAAATCCAAAGTATCTGGAAGTGTACCTCTTGCCCTACCCAATACTGTAAGTAATCTACATTTAGTTTGGTCACCATTATCTTTTTGTTATTTTTCAAATGTTCTCCTTGACTAAAGTACTTTTTGCAAGACATTCATATTTTGAATGCAGATTTAGGTTATATTAAAAGGAGAGAAAATCACTTTTCTTTATGATGGCATGTTTTCATTTCAACACATCTATATAACTCCCTATGACCCTGTTGTTGATACTGGAGGACCTAACATTGGCAAGAAATACAAAGACAGATTCTATAATAAAGAAAACTTGCCCACTGAGACCTCCAGTTTATGAAGCATTTTAGTTTTATTTATTAGCCAACTGGTCCAAATGGTAGAATGGATAGAGCAGCCTTTCCCAAACTAATGACTTCCAGATATCCCTAACTTCATCATCCATTATTCCTCCTTCAGTCACCTCTGGTTTTTCATCTATTTGATGATCTGTGTGTTCAGAGTCCTCCTCTTCCATTTTAACCTCCATTTTAATTTCAGGTAAAGGTTGTTGCTGCTGTTGTTGCTCAGGGGCAGCTTGCTGAACATTTACATCTGCACTGCTGGTGGATGGTGGGTTTGATACCTGCCCATCAATATTTACACCTGGCTGTGAAAGCTAGAGAACAAAAAACAATAAAACCAGATGATGAATAGTGAAACCACATGACTTTACCAAATTCATTTTTTTGTTTCTTTTTGTGCTTGTAAATTATGTTAGCTCTGGCAACTCTTTCTACCAGCACGAAAGAGATGCTGTACAATAAATTTAACATTGCTTATACTTGTCCACCATGGAAGCATGCTCATTTTTTTATAGTTGTCTACTATCTCCAAACACATGTCATTAAAATTAAGCTGATGGTATTTATTTTTCATAATACCAAATTCCACTAAAACACCATTATGGAGAAAAAAGTGCAAGTTTGAACATCTACAATTCATGTTCTATTCCTTCATGAAGTGTACACCCCAAAGTAATTCATACTGTATGCATGTCAAAAGCTTTGTTTGAAGTTGCACTTTTGAAAAATAATAGCATTAGAAGAATAAAAGTTTTCTTACAGGTGTTGTAGGATGTTGAGGTTGCAGTGTCGTTGTTGGGGTGGGTACAGATGCAGTTGTGCTCTGTTGTGAAAGAGGTTGCTGTGGCAACTGCTGCTCTGCAGAAGGGGTAACAGAAACTGGAGGCTGCACTTGTGGAGTCAACTGAGCTTGTGGGGGTGTTGGAGTCTGCCTCTGAGATGGGTGCATAGTTTGTGACTGTGGCCCAGAAGATGTTATTTGAGAAACAGCAGCAGGGGCAGAGGCAATTGTTGCCTGTTGTGATGCAGGTGGCTGCTGCTGTTGGGATACCAATCCTGGGGGTGTATGATGAGGTGTGGGAGTACGACTTGGTACTGGAGAAGGAGAGTTACGATGCAATGCAGACTGTGGAATGGGGGGACAATGAATATGACCCCCTTGAGAGCCAGGAGCCACTGCTGGAGATGTCACAGGACAGGAAGAGCTGGTCATTTGTGCCTGCAAATCAAATCAAATCAAATCAAATCAAAACAAAACAAAATCAGTTTGTGAATATACTGTATTTAGAGATTTTGGGTCCAAATTCACTCTCTAAGGACTAAACGCTTCCTGTTCCTTCTTCAGCTATTATCACAAAAACAAGAACATGCTGAGGAAGCAACAGCAAATGGACTTGCTGATGGTCCATTCTGGGAAATGAGCATGACCCTGGCCTACCTCTTCCCAAGCTCACAAAAAAGCAAGGTACTATCAATGAATTAAGATGAAAAGGAAAAAGACAGAACAGAATTCAGAAAGACAAAGTTTCAAATAAAAATAAAAATAATGACAATGTCACTGACAAATTTATATGAAGAACCTGGTTTCATTTTTGTACATCCCATTTATCTACCTTAACTACAGACAGGTCTATAATGAAAGAGCTATTAAAAGATCTTCTCAACACATACTTGAGAAGCTGGAGTCTGATTGCCAGGTTGAGTCATAGGTGTGCTAGTTGGATTCATTCCAGGGGACAATGCAGGAAATTGGTTCTGTGGCAGAAACTGACTTTGGCCAGAAGACTGACCAACCCCTTGCTGCTGCATACGTGGGGAAAATCCAATCTGTAAGGAAACATTTACTATCAATTGAATAGAAATACTGTATCATGCCATTACTTTTCATAATAGCTAGGATTCCAATAAACCTGATAATAAGTTTTAAAATATCCCTTTAACCTTCTAAATTGTAAGTAATATTTATGTGACTGACTATGATTCTCAACCAGCTATCCAATAAAACCATTATCCAAAAAATGCTTCATATATGACTTAAACCAGTTCAAGACAGAACTAATTAAAATATGGTCAAAACATCACACTTAAAGTAATACAGAAGACTAGCTTTACCAGCTAATTTATCAGAAAGCATGCAAATCACAACTAACAACAGGCAGAAGAATCAACCAACCTGATTTATATTCCCCGTCTGACTTAGCTGTCCAGGGTGTGGAAGGGGAGGAGTTTGCCTGGGTCCAACTGATGGCATCGACATGGTTATTGGGCCAAACTGGTTCATTCCTGTGAATGTTAGGTTTAAGTAAAAGTTTACAGGGTTCACTAGAACACTGATTTGCTAAACCTATTTTTTTTAAAAAAGGTACAAAAGAGGAAGAGCTGTTAGTGGCAACTCAGTACTAGTAAGAAAATAAGGAGAAAACAAGAGCATATAAATACAAACAAGATCATTCAGAAAAAGCTTTGACAACACTGGAGGAAACAGTGCAAAAGGACATGAAATAAAGTATGAGCACAGAAGCAGTAATTTTTAAAATGCTATATGTATGAAGCTTTAAGTTAAACTGAAGCAAAGGCTTTATTATGCTATTGGAGAGAAAAGCCATTTAGCATAGATATTTTGAAACACAGCTAGAGGGTAGTATAAAAAATACAAAGAACAAAGATAAAAAGAACAAAGCAAGAGCCTATGTGTAATTACTAGTGTTGGCCTAGATAAGCCATATATTCTTTCCAGTAGCAGGCCTGAAAATGCAATGATCAGAAAAAGATGGGTTAAAAATTAAAATTCTGCGAAAACGTTGACAATTGCTTGACAAAAAGGAAAAGAATGCATGGTATATCTCCCTTCAAGATAAAGGAAACTAATCTGTCTAGAATAGAAAGCATGCATCTGAAGGACAAGGAAACTTGAAAGCGTAATGCTAGTGGATTATGTCACATAAGAAAAAGCAATAACAGGAAAAAGGTACATGACATATCTATTGAAAAATAGAGCAAAGCTAATGGCAAAAAAAAAAAAAAAAAAAAAAGCAGATGTTCTAGAACTGAAATAATGAATGTGGAAAGCCAGTCAAAGTAGTAATAAGGTGTGAGGGCAGAATGGGAACACAACCGAAATACAAGAATTTCCAGAACTGAAGGAAAAACATAATATGAGAAGTCCCTCTAAATTCTCACCTGGTGGTGTCTGCATGCGATTTACCATTTGGTTTGGCACACTGGAGCGAATCATATTTGGGTCTGGAAGAGGACCATCTATAATGTAGATAAAAGCCCAAAGTTAAATTAAGACTTTTTCACAAATCCTAGTACTTTATAAGGGCTAATCCACACATCTCTCTAATTGTGCTCTGAAGATGCTTGGTTAACCATTCTTTAAATACATGTTCTCATGATGCAGCCTTTGTATGATCTTTGGGTTGGGGATATTTATCTGATCCAAGTGGTGTTCTTCATCTTCTATCACAAGCCCTGCTGTATGCATAGTCTGTGGTGCTCTGGTAACTATGCTGATGATGTAGCAGGGGCTGTTGGGTGCTTTTGGCTACTGTGGGCACACCTCCTCCCTTCTGGTTACTGGTGATTTCCCTTCATGGCCATCATGGCTTAGAAAGGAGAGATCAGTCATCAGTCTGTGTAATTTCTGCCCAGTGCTTACCAGATGAGAAAAATAAGCAAGCAAGACTGAATAAATAAGAAAGTGCAAGTAGGAGCAACAGACAGGAAACAAGAGAGAAAACAAGAAAAGGATAAGTGAGGGACAACTAAACTAGTTGTCTCTGTGTGGTCTAAGTTTTAAGTGGGACCTTATCTACTGAACGTCAGTTTCCTCCTAATAATGTATAGGATGGCACACTATAAATCAAACTGCCAGCCTCAAACTTTATTTTTATTTACTAAAATGCTTTTGGATCCATAGATATATCTCCTGGATATTGCAGCACAATACTTTGGCAAAAAGCATGTCCATCTTCTCAGAAAAAGAAAAAAAAAAAGCTAGGCTCAAGAGGATGGGAGGGTAGTAACTGGGAACTTCAGACATTTGACATAAGATATTTTCTTACTGGCCTCTCCTACCATGATACCATTGTAGCCATTTTGTTAGAATAAGTATGACATTTATAAATTCTAAATATGCTCACCAGCCCATTTCTAAGATATCCCAACTGTCACTTTCATTCTTCACTGGCTAAGAATTAAGTTGTTTCAAATCTTAATTACACAAGTTATTTTAAACACTTACTTGTTGTCATCCCAGGCTGTGGCTGCCCCATGGGCCCTTGATTCATAGAAGCTGGTGGCATGACTGGGGCATTTGGTATCATATTTTGCCTCTGCAATCTAGTCCTCCTCTTTTCCTCCAATTCCTTCTGGATTTTATAAATCTTCTCTGCTAATAAGTGGTAGTACTCTGCCTGTAATGTGTAATGGGAAAGATGTGTGTATTAAATAAAGATTAATGATACATATTTCCTAATTTTAACTTTCCAAGTGTACAATAAGGATTTTTCTCCTTAAAATTTGATGTTTATTCAATACTAGTAAAACAGCTATCACTGTAATAAATGTTCTCCATATAAAAACCTAAACAGTGTAGCGATTTGGACTGGTTGGTTGGGAGTTAAGAATACCAGGAAGCTAGACTATAGTAAGCTGCAAGGCTCCTAGCTAATCAAGCTTCCCTCTATTGCCACCAGTAGTCTACATTACAAACCAGGACACTAAACTGTAGTACCATCTGGAGTGTAATATGAGGTGCCTTGATATTACATGTATCCTCAAGGCCATATAAAACATATCATATACTGTATGATTTTAATCCTCATTCTACAAATCTGCAGCATTACCTCTAAATAAGCATTTAATTGCATTAAATACCCTACTACAGGAATGAATGGAAGACTACCCCTCACCATTAGGGTCTACATGTTGTTTGATAAGTAGAATTTCTTCATCTATGAGTCTTGTTGAGGCCTATCCAATTATGTTACAGCACCATGGAAACTACATTTGCCTACATTGCTTTAGTGTGGGTTTTGTTCCTTGAACACAATAAATGAGTTTGAATGACTGTAATTGACTTTGTAACCAACTATTTATACATAATGATTCACTGGCATTACTGAAGTATTCTCTTAATATTATTTGTTTTATACACATCTCATAATGATAAAAATAACATATTTTAGCAGTATATGCATAGAAAAATACAGGGATCAACTATTTAGAAATAAGTAAGATGTATGACTCCAGAAAAAGGTAATAGCATACCCTGCTATTTGCAGATTCATACATGTCCCCTTCAACTTTCCGAGCATAGGAGACAAGATTTGCCATACGCCTATCTTTCAGTGCTGCAGGGTCAGGAGTTGGAAATATGGCTTGTACTCTAGAGGAATATAAGGAAAAAATGTTAAATCTGGACCCTAAACTCAAATAGCTAATGCCTACTATTTCATAAATAAGCAAAAAACAAATTTTGTAGCTTCATATTACATAATAATGCCATGCTCCACTTTAAATTTAATGTGGTATTCATATTTCCTTTAGGAATAAAAAGCAGTTGATTGGCTAATAAATCAAAACAATCCCCAACACTTCCCAGTATATTTAGGTGTCCAGAAAGCTTTACTATCATAAACAAAAATACCAGTGTCAAGAAACTTGAGTTGTTAGAGGAGCAACCCAAGTAATTTTAACTTAGCTATATCAAAATAGGAATGAGCAGGGATTTATCTAGCCAACAAGTATTTTATCTTTCTTACTATATTCTTATCAATGCTGCTATAGGTCAGAACCATATACGAACTCTCCAAGTATGTTGGCCCCCAAACAGTTAAAAAATAGAACAACTAAAGCCCCATCTACCCAACTAAACTTACTGAAAACTTGTAAACCCAACCTTATTTAGGTTTCATACAAAATTGTGATGCCCAATCACAGCAGCACAAAAGCTTGGAATATGGAAATAAAGCGTATCTAGCAGAACAACCTTCCCTAATTCAGGACCCCGCCAAATGTGTCAGACCAAAGCTTTCACTGTCCATGCTACCTGGAAGCAACAGGAATTGTAGTTCAATACAACACAGAATATAGCCAGGCACAAAAGATCATGATGACTGCTGCAGTCAATGCAACGTTTTTACAGCTCTATCAGATCAACAGAAAGTACTGGATTCCTTGGGTTTGTGGAATTACTTGGTAGCTTTCATATTGTAGCTATGGTAGAAAATTATAGCTGACTCTTTCAGTGGTTTACCACAAGAGCCAGCAGATCACAGATGCCAAAGTCTAGGCCCAAAGGATTTTAACAATTAGAGCCATGGAAACCCTTTGAAAGAGATGACTGACAATGTGCAGAAGTATGGACAAAGCACCTTTCTTTTAATCATTACAGCAACCCATCTCTTTAACCAGCTTGTGTTGATACTTTGAAAGCTGTTCTGTATACGTTTCTTTGCTTGATTGTTTTCTACCATCAAATCTACCTCCCTGGTCAATGCAGGGATCCAAATTAAAGCATTGCCAACATATGGCTTTCCAACCTCTCCTCACAAACATATAGTGAAAGTAAACTCACTACTTCCCTTAACTGTTTTAAATATCCTAACACTAAACTGGAATCTGCATTCTTGTAACTTAAGACCATTATTTGATTTTCATACTTAGCCACAAAACTGAGCAACTTTGGCTTCCCAACTAATTTGCAGAACAAAAGATGGGTAGGCAGAACGAAGTGCCTTTCCTGGTTCACTCCAATCCAATGGAACCATACTAAACTTTTCTTTTTTGCCATTTTCTCTAATGAGGAGAGACACTTTTTTCTTGCCACATGATACACCCATGCCTTGTATGTAGCTGCCACTTTACACACATCCATGTAGATCCATTAGACCCTACAGGATCCTAAATCCTGTCTTCATCCTGCCCACTACCCTTCCAGCAGCAAAACAGGGAAGGTGTGGTAATTCTGTAAGCATGGAGGAATGGTTTTCTCACCTGAACAAAACATAAGAATATGTAGGGGACTGGATTTCTCATTGTATGTATGTATGTATGTATGTATGTATGCATGCATGCATGCATGCATGCGTGTATAGATGGATGGATGGATTGATGGTTTGTTTTTAGCTTCTTTTACTTATCCTTTTTAAAACAAATGTGGGGGATTAGGTGGGTGGGGATAAATGGAAAGAGGGAGATGTTGTTCCCACTATTTGGGTTTTTGTGGGTTGCCAGAGAATTTCTTCTGAAAAGGAAAATAATCTTCTATACACTGAATAAATACTTGCAAATATTGTAATATTGGTTTTTTAACTGTTTATAGATGTTCTGGTTGAAAAATAAAATGATAAACACATTACTCATGATTACTGAAATTATAATAGCTTTTTTGTCAATGTATTTTATTTCAGTCAACAGACACTTAAAATACAATTACTATCTGGGGGTCTGTATCCATGGCCCAAAAGGTGACAACTGTGGTGTATGGTAGACTAGGAGAAAGGGGAAGAATGTACTATAGCCAAATAAAAATTGTCTGATCCTGTGGAATGGAAGGATTTTTAAAATCAATTTCATAAGGCCACTCAACTCTACTGCCGCTCTGGGCAGCATACAATTTTAAAATAATTCAAAAATACAAACCAAGGAACAGGCATCCATAAAACAAAACACCTTCCCCGTAGCTCTAAAAAGAGCCATATAATACACAACAGTCCTACACACACTGTAGCCCAAGGCCTGGGGGAAGAGTCAGGTTTTAAGAGCTCCTCTGAATAATCTCTGAAGGGCTGTTCCAAATGACAGGCACAGTGATAGAAAGGCATGTTTCTTAGGTCCTATCAGATAACGCTGTCTAATGGATGGGACTTGAAGCATGCTGACTCTGCCTGATCATACAGGATAGGTAGAAATTATGGAACACAGATAGTCCCGCAGATAACCAGGCCCTATGCCATAAAGGGCTTTAGAGGTAATAACCGGTGCCTTGAATTGCATCCAGACTCTTACTGTAAACCAGTGCAGCTCACAAAACAGCGTGTTAGGGTATACCATGGAGACTGGACAAAAATTGTCCAGAACTGTTGAGTCCAGTGATGTCTGAAACTATGCCCTTCCTCAACGAAGCAGATACTACAGCATGGATCCAACCTCACATCACCTCTCAAGCAGCTTATGGCATAGGGCCAACTGTAGTTGGTTGAAGTTGATAAGGTCTCAAAAAGAGACAGGTGGAAAGTTTAAAAAACAAAAGCAATGGATGGTGTATTGATATGGTGAAAGCAAGGATGGCATGCAAAGAAAGAAAATCATGGAGAGGTATAGTGAATGGTTTTAATTTAAAATGGTTTTAGTTAGAATTCCTTTTCTATCACCTTCTGCCATTTATTTAGTTAACTTCTTACTCTTTTTCTGTGCTTTGCATAACACTGCTTATATTGAAAGGAAACAGCATGATGGGTATGCATGCATATAACATAATCCATCTGGACAAGCTACTGTGCTCATTTTTCAACTATACAATGTTGCTGTGCACCAACACACATTTTAGCCCTGGAAATAATGTAGATGTGTCTTGCTGAAGGGCCAAGGTGTGGCAACTCATTGAAATTAATTTCTAATGACAACAGAGTAAAATTAGTTCAAGGCAACATGGAAGAAATGCATTTCCAGATATGGGTCACACTTTCTGGCATTGGTTGACTCCTTTTCATAGAGGTTATTCCCACGTGATAGGGTCCAGATAGCAAAGCAGCAAATTATAAGTAATTCTTATACTGTTCGGGCATAAGATCGATTTGTCCTTTCATTAGAAATGCATGGCTTGAACTCTTGATTTTTGCCCTATCTCTGGTTCCGCATCCTGCAGACAATTTCAACAGTTATATAAGTAAAAAATATCAATAGCTATCCATCACACATTACGAGAAAGCATTGTTCATGTTCACCATTATGTCAATTCTCTTATTTATAAGACTTATTTGTTTAGAAGTCTGAACATTTTATCAGTAAGTACATACAGTTTATGAACAAGGTGGTTTCTGAGATCCTGAGTAATATCTTCATGCCATGGTTTTCGAATTCCAATGCCAGAAGGATGTGTTGCTGTTGGCATGGTCCCCAGACTAGCAACATTCGCATTTTCATTCATCATGGGACTGAAAATGAAGTGGAATCTTATGAGGCACCTTAAAACATAGTTCAGTGATACTCTCTCTATAGAAAACAAGATAGTTTATAGCCCTCTTATGATAGGTTTCCTGCTCTGGCATAATCAGGTGTGTTATGGCATCCTAAACAGACATTTGTGTTTTTCCCAAAATGATTTTTATTTTTAAAAAACATAAGCGTAAATATCTCTTGTAAAAAAATTATCAAGATTAAATGAGGTGCAAACAAAAATTAGAAAAAGAACTCATAATTCTCTTATACACCTCTGAAAGTTTAATTTTGTGACATAAGGAAGCATTTAAGAACTTATGTTATGGGTTTGATACTGGGAATAAAAATCCAGCAAGTCATCACAGTCACTAAAACTCTTATGTTGCTAATGCTGTAGCTCTAAATGCATGTTTGTTTAGAAAATGTACACATTTTCAAATAGGACACTTGATTATAATCAATTTGTAAATTGTCTTTTTATTAGTGATTTATATTGTCTTGATTTAAACCAATTATGTTGGAATAAACTCATGTTCAGTTATTCACAAGATTGACAGAGTAAAATGAAATTTTATTTCTGTCTGTCTTAAAATGCAACAGATTACTAAGTATATTAGAGAAAAATGAAGAAAAATAAGTATAAATATTTATTGATACTTTACATTAACCTCTATCAGAGATATCTACTTCACTTTGCTCAATTGTATCTACTTTTACATCCAATGCTCTGACCCCTCTAATGACTATGGTCAAAATATTTTCAATACCCTGTACAAACATTATTTTTATTGAGAAGGATTCCTAATGTTCCTTAGAAAAATTTTCTTAATTTTTCTTAGAAAATGGAATTTCCTAGAATTTCTAGATGTGATTATAGCCTTCAAACATGAGAAAGTCCAAAGCCAGGAGATTTCAATATTTGAGGGACTACAAGATTTAACTCTGTCCCCTTTCCTTAAGGATAACATGCAGATTTAATCCTGACAAGATGGAGGTATTGAACTTTAATAACGACTATTTTATATTTTTAATGATTGTTTTTATATATTTATTGTTTTATTTAATTGTTGTACGCCACCCAGAGTCACTTAACCAGTTTAGAATGTATATCAGCTGTAGCTTTACCAGGAAAAGGTAAATTTTGCCTCCAATCCCAGCAGTAGTAATATCCAGTCTGAATTACTACTACATGGGATAATGCAGTAATGGAAAATTCAGCTGGTGTAAAATGCAGTTCCCAGTGGTTTTTAAATAGTTAGATCATTTGATAAAGTTGTGGATGAGCAGCACTACTCAATGCATTTCCAAGCCCAGGTTAAGATGCTGGAATCAATCCGTAAAGTCTCTTTGGTGCTAAGTTACGTGAAGATCTTCTTTCAACTACAGAAAACTGCCTGTCTGTGTTAATTTTATAGGTTACTTGTTAAATGAAAGTATTCTTACTTTTGAGAATTCATAGCTGAATGCAACATTGAATCTGGAAGCAGATTCTGGGCTTGAACTCCAACACCTCCGTTCACTCCCATAGGATTAGCATCTACACAGGAAAAACAAAACAAAACCCAAACCCCACCATTAAATCTTTACTATGCTGTTTTACAAAAAGCAAAGCCTTAATGTTCATTATAGTATGCATTATACACATACAATGTAAGAATCCATCCCATTCCTATCTTTTATGGCTTAAACATTTCAAAGTTTGCAATGTTTACATCAGAATTATTAGCATTACTAGAGAAATTTCCCATCATGAATAAATACAGTAGGATTCTCAAGGGAGACCTAGTAAATTGCTGAGAGTCCTCAGGCACATCAAACAAAAACTACGGCCACACTCCCAAAATGAATATGTAACAATAATTAAGTTAAAAAGAAAAGGCATCAAATTTAACATTTTTTAAAATGTTTTGTAATAATTTGTTGCCTTAAATTTATTTTGGCACTTCAGAGGGAAATGCTCATCTATGAGATGAAGACAGTGCTAAGTATATATAATGGTAATTCACAAACCTGCTATTGGGTATAAGACAAATATTCTGTCTTCCAGGAACTTACTTGTGGGATTCATGGGGCGAAGTCCCTGTGGTGACTGTCCTTGCTGCTGACTTTTCACTTGAGCCTGCGTCTGCGTCGGCATCTGATTCCCTTGATATGTCAGCCCCAGAGCTGCATAAGCCCTCTCAATAGAGCTGGGGTCAATCTGGTTAGTAGCATTTATGTTGGGTGTTGTCTGCTGCCCCACTCCCACAGAACCAGAATTTCCAATTCCTACTGCAGCACCACCTAATAATGCTAGAAGCAATGAAAACACAAAGATGGAGAAGTGATTAAAGTGAAACGATGGCACAGCAATGGCCTCCAAAATAGCAACGAAAGGGGGAAACAACAGACCTTGTAGCTGTTAAAGTCTCCCCCCCCAAGATTGTTATTTTTGAAGCAAAAATGGAGCCCATTCAACTCAACATTAATGTCTAAGTGTTAAACTCCCCCTAATTAAGTTTTCATAAAACAATTTTGTGGCTCATTTTATAAACATCTTGTGTTCTTAGTATTTTAAAATTATTATTACATACTCAATTTGTCCTTGTCATCTTTTGCCAACTTTTCAGCTTGATCAAGAGTTATGTAGAGGAGAGGAGAAGGCAAGGGAAAATAGAAAAATAAAAGCACAACTATAGGGAAAGCATGGTGTGGACCTTTCATCAATGGAGAAATACTGATTTACTAAAATGTAACACCTGCAGGCATTGAGAAGCTAAATATCTTACTTTCTTAACATGACCTAACATCGTCTGGAATACTGATTGTTCCTAGCCAAGTAAAGACTAAACCACTGTCATTGTAACTGAGCAACTCAATTTAAGTGATTTTTGTTCTGAAAGCTTTCACGGACTTTTCTATATGTTATAACCTACCGTAAATGCAGAATAGCAAAGACTGCAATGAATGGATGAAAGTGTAGGAGGAAAGCTCACAGATCAGCAGACATCTTTACTACATTAAGTGCTGTGTCTTAGGAGACAGCAAATAAATTAAACCAATCAAGTAAATACATCTTTGGCACACTGCTTGTCCTATAAAAGGTTGTCAGTCTCAGGCCTCTAACCTTCCATAGCACTGGAAAAAACTATGAAATTACAGTATACAATAGTATACGACACTGATTTTGTTAATAGCCCAACAACAATATCATAACAGAAAATATAAAGGGGGAAAAGGGATTGCTTACATTGTTGATTTCTTTTGTCCCCAGCATTCTTGAGAGGAAGACACACAGGACAATCATGCCGGGTACAATTCTTCCAGTGAGATATGATTTGTCGTGAAGATGCACAATGAGCCACTAAAAGACAGTAAAAAATTATTTTGTAACTCGCACAACTTGAACATTTCTTGAGCTATCTATACAAACTGAAATCTGCTGTTGATTCCTATATATTGTACAATTAAGCAGTTGTACAATATATAGTTTAAACTTTTAAAACATTGTGCAGGCTTCTAGAACTTTCCAGTCTACTTCTGTTGCGATCACTAAATTACTAATGACGAAATATCTTGTGGATTCATTTCAGCAAAGTACAGGTTATAGTTTTTGCACGTGGATTCATTTCAGCAAAGTACAGGTTATAGTTTTTGCACGTATTGTAATAAATCACCTGGACCACCTTTTTTCCTTGCACAGTGGAAGCCAGGATGCTTGCTAAATTTTCAGTGCATTTATAGTTCTGATCCCAAATTTGTAGTTCTATTAAGTATCGGAACTGCAAACCATTCTTAATTTCAGCAATATAATATAGCCTGAGCAAAGAGGAGTAGTTTTATTGTTGCCCATGTTAAATAACTTGGAAGTTTGACATAAATCCTTGCTGACTTCCAACAAATCATTCAGAGTACTAACATTAGATCCAGATCTACTTTCTGCCAATCTCTACTGTACATACAAGTATATAGGCAATCAAAAGTTCTACTTACCCTGACAGGATTTTCCAGCCTGGCAATGTGTCATGTGGTTGAGGACATTCTTCATGGTTCGACAGTGAGGGAGGTTACACTGTCGTACTTCACCATTTGCTTGCTCCCTCCGCTGACATTTGTGAGCATGCAAGAGGAGAACAAGCTGCTGCTGTATGAGCTTGCGTTTTTCTGGGTCTGCTGTAGGTGCTCCTGATCCCATAGCAGTTGATACCATTGTAGCCTGCTGAACTGGAGGAGTCTGCTGCTGTTGACACTATCAGAAGGAGACAAAGCATTCCTTGAATTCAGCAAAAATTAGAAAAGTGATTTTTTAAGTCTCTTCCTGAGACTTAGCTTGGAGCAACAGTAACTATTACTTTAAATGCAAACTAGAGCCAAATTAACTTTCCTGGGAAGTTGGTTCTACAAAAAGAGAACTGCTACTCTGTCTTGAATTCCCTACTACATATAATCCCTTAGATAAAGCTCATAATCCCAAATAAATAATCATCCACATAAAACAGTATCTCATGTGAAATGATTTCATTACCAGTATAGTCTCATTATTAGAATTAGTTGCAATCTTTGATAACCAACATAGAAATGTACCATCTCTTCATATGGAGTAACTTAAATAATACATAAAGGATAGCAGATGTAAATACCTGGGCCTTTATCACTGTCATATACCAAATTGTAGCATCACTGAGAATGGCTAAAAGAAAGTGGGTCCTTTCAGCTTAAAAGCTTTACTGAGATATCACACATACAGCTGATTATAGGAAGTATCAAGTTCAGTGCTAGCCTGTATCATTTTTATGCAACTTTTACTACCAGTCTTAAGGATATCCAGTCTCCCTTAAGCACAGATTAGTAAGAAATAATGACAATTTTTTTCCTTGAGTTCAGAACATACAGAGGGGAATTCTATGTAAGTTCATCCTGAACTGTCTGAAGTACACAAAAATAAACCAGAAGAGTGAAGTGTGGCCATAACACAACAGCAACTCTTGAAATCACTCCACACAAATCCTTCAAATATTACCATCACATTGTAGTTTTTCATACCAGATAAAAGAGGCAAACTGTTAAAAACTGTGGAGAAGAATGGAGAAAGCTTGAAGAAGAAATGCAGAAATAGTTACATAAACAACAGTTTAGCCGTGAAAAGAGAGGAGGGGTGAGAAAGAAACTCAAGATTACTGCAACTTGATTCTCTTTGGTATATGGGGGGAGAGAAAGAAACTCTGTCAGGCTTTCAAGATTCTGTTATTACACCCGCAATAACAGAGTTCCAGTAATCATTATGGAATCTGTTTCTGACCTGACTTATCTCAAAGAGCTGATACCAACACATGAAACAACCCTGTAAACTGTATTTACATGATTTAATGTAATATAATTCTATTGCTTTTGTCTTGCCTTCATCTCCATTATTGTGGCTATTCTAAAAGAAGTTTTAGCTGAGAATCAAATTTGGTTAGTCAAGTAGACTAATGTTGACTTCACTTTAGCAAATGAAGTAAGTCAAGTAGCCTTTCCTCCTAAGCTGAACTGGTAACTTAGTGAAGTAAAAGCAACCTATTCCCCCCCGCCCTGCAGATATTAAACTCTGAGGCCTGTACATTACTTACCTGAAAGGAAAATGCCCCTAAACAATCTCTCCCCACGACAAAAGAAAAAAATATAGATATATATTCTACACTACCCAGCTCTGCTTCCTTCCCTGACAATTAAGCTAGCCCACTCCCACCAAGATCAATCCTAGATTACCCCTGCTCTTGTATCTATCTGTGTATGTGTGTCTGTGCACATATGCATGGCCAGAGGACATGTTCTAAACAAAAGCCATGGTCATGACAATAATCACTTCAAATTTGTGGGTAATCAGTTGGGGGAAGGACTTGTCTACCTGTCTGGTAAATGTGGTATGAATATTTATTGTCTTGTAGATTCAGTTAATTAATTTAAAAGAGTATTAAATATGTTTAGAATTGCTATGAACCATTTTTGTGTGTGTTTGCCTTCATGCCAGTCTTGATTCCTGGCTACTGCCTGGACAAGTCCCTGCAGTTTTCTTGGCAAGATTTCAGAAGTAGTTTACCATTGCCTCCTTCCTAGGGCTGAGAGCGTGTGACTGGTCCAAGGTCATATAGTTGGCTTCGTGCCTAAGGCAGGATTAGAACTCATAGTCTCTCAGTTTCTAGTAAGTATTTAACTATATTTCCAAATTAATAGAGGTACTCAATATAAAAAAGACTGCAATCATATTTGATTACTTTATGGACCTCTAATCCATCATCACAAGACACCTAGTAACTATAGTTTGTATTAGGTATATCAAAAAACTACCATTACATGTTCAGTCAACAAAGGGTCAAATTGTTCAAATTAAGGTGAGGGGAATGCTACTGCTTTCTGAGAAAGATCAAGCATTTTTGTTTCTTTGCCATCCCCACATTAGGCCGATAAGTGGTAAATTGATCATACAATGCCCATTCCAGCCTGATGAATAAAAGTCACTTAGAAAAGTGACTTATATATTGTGTTTAATTTTTTTAAATCTTGGAGAGAACACAATCCTTCAGAAGTGTTATATGATTACTATATTTTATTTTAAGGTTTTATAACTATATTGGTGTTATTAGAATAGAGCCACTCCACCAGTATTTTGTTTTAACTATAATCTTAGATATTAAGAAGAAACATGCTCATTAACTTAATTTTCAAATATAGCTTCCCACCTTATATCCTGTCACTCATATAATAAAAAAAAATCCTTATTGTATTGATATGAATTAGGTATGTGTAAAACTATGCCAGAAACAGTTCCACTTCCTCTCCAGATCATATTGATCCAACCATTTCAGAGGAGACCTAGCAGACTGCTAGAAGTTACTCTTCCAAACCAGAAATAGTCTAATCAACTTCTGAATAATCCTGTCCCTCCCCAAGAAGGAAAAAACTTTATATAATTTATAAATTTAGTAAAAACAATCAAGCCAAAACTTATTCTTCCTTTACCAAGAAAACTATCTTGAGAGAGAGATGGACAATGAGGCAAAAAATTCTGCCCTTTCTAGAGACAGCAGTAGTACTTCCACAATTTTAACATGGTTATGTGAAACTCTGAAGAATTCTTTAATGAACACATTCCTGCTACATTTTGTCATGATAATAATAAAAAAAAGCTGAGGAAAAAGGTGGAATCCATGCCTAACTACATAGTATATAGGAGTTGAGCTCTGGAATGTTCCAAATGAGGGCTACATATAGGTGAAAATCTTATATGTGATTTACATAGATCACAATAAAGAACATGCCATTTCTACCCTCACTTTGATTTCTGACCATATTATTACCGTATTTTTCCGACTATAAGATGATACTTTTTTCTAAAATCCTTACCCTAAAAAATGAAGGGCGTCTTATTCAAGGAAGTCAGCCGAGGAGAGAACCACGCGGTTGCAAAACTGTCAATACTTTGTTTCTGCAAAGAGGCTTCCTCCTATTGGTAGCCTCCAATCACT